TACAAAACTCAACGTTTAATCTATAATCAACGATTTTTGGGTTTAGATCGCGTTTATTTATAAATGTGTCGTAACCCTCCACCACCCGACACGGCCAATCAGTAAAAATGTGTCACGTTGACAAAGACAAATAGTTCACTGCTTTAGCCCACTGGTGTGTTGAAGCAACAACATTTACAATTTGAGTACTCAAATTGTAAATGTTGTTGACGTCACTTTCAAGTTATATCTGTGAATCACCTCTTGGCGCTCCTTTCACCAACCTCCACTGACCAGAGTGGTGAAGTATGGTCAAACAACCCCCATGACTGATATGGCGTCGGGATGCCTTTCATCCATGAGTTGATTTACGTAGTTTTTTAGTAAGGGATTATTTTCCTAAACATCTACGAGTTAAGTGCCACAAATGAAGAGCCAATGCCGTCGAGGACTGTAGGGGGAAGTGCGTGACTGGTTGAGATCTCACTTGCCACTGATGTTACCCCTGGCCAGGAATGTAACGCAGGTCGTCAGGGTTCATAGCACAGCGGGTTAATCACTTCGCCGCCAATGCACCTTAGCGATTAAATAGCATTATTTGATCTTGATTTGAAGTTTTCGTGACTCCAGGAATCCATATTCTTTGGTTCTTTCGGTATAAAATCTAATAAATCACGACGTTTTGATCGCAACATAAGCGGTCGTCCTCAGGCGGAAAAAATATAATCCAGCAGTGGAAACGTTGAACCAGCGAGAGAGCTGTTACAACAAGAGGTTATATATGTGGCGATGGGCAAGCAAGCAGGGGTCTGAGCTTATCACTTCATAAGCGTGCGGCCGAGAACACAATTCGTGCGGGATGCTTCATCGGTCACCAAACTTTATAAAAAAAATGGAAATATGTGAGCGCATGAAGCTGGGCGGGTTGTGCGGAGGAGGAGGAGGGTGAAATGAGTTTATTTGTGGGCTACCTAGGCCTGTCGAGCCGTTGGAATGACTGCGGGCTCGCCACGTCTCAGTGACGTTTTCTTTTTTCAGGGATTAACTTCACTTTCGAAAGATTTCTGATGGACGAGCGAAAGGAAAAAAAAACATGTTTATATGTCGAAAAAAAGGCGGGTGGGGTGGGAGTATTAATTTTCGGTACATTGTGTTTTTCATCCAGAGTCCGTGTTCCAAAAGGTCAACCTTAAATAATCGACTGACATGAGCAGTACCTGTGAACTGCGAGTCTGTTCCGCTGTGTTCTTTCGTCGAATGGAACGACACTGTTTAACACTGCCTGAGTGCAGTTTCAAAAATCAATGGGGCGTTGTATCCCGTCCGAATTTCTCACCGCAATAATTCTGTTCTGAATCGATGTTCATATCTGTGGCAATGATATTCGTCGTATATTGTTATTAACTTTCATTTTCGAGAGGCCACATTGTCAACTTACAAATGAGTGACGTACTCTACCATTGGCCATAAAACCCGAAGGCGACAAACAGTAACGCTTAGTACTGATGTTTACCTTGTTTTTTAGTCAAACCTTATATTGCACGTATTGTCATTTACTAGTTTAAACGCTCATGACAGAAATTCACCTTTGTTACGATGACGAGTGGTGTGCAGGCACTTACAATATAATTAATCTGCATTGAAGTTGGGGGGGGGGGGGGGGTCTTGATCCTTTTGTGCGTGGTCTGCCCGGACAGATAATCTCCAAGCTGCCCACGCGGTTATCGGGCAGACACACACAGGGCCAAAGTCTTCTGCCCAACAGCTGTTTTTTTTTGCGAGCCCCTTGATAAAGTTCGGCGTGGTTAAGGGGTGGTGGGCGCGATGTGTCTGTGCGCCCCAGCAGATGGGAGGCGAACGAGTGGTGTGGTGGGGTTGGGAGGGGGGGGGGTGGGCAGCTGGTTGGTGGTGGTGGTGGTGGGGGGGTGGACAGGCGTGGGAGCGCCGCGTTATGCCGCTGACAGGGGTCACTGCTGCGGCTTTATCGCAGGCCGCGCGAGGAGCGTGTGCGTCGTGCCGATAGCCAGCGCCGATGACAGCTGCTCCGTGTGACGAGTTGGCCGAGGCGTGGCCGCGTGTGCGGGGGCGAGGGGCCCCCGGCTTGCTGACCCAAAATGTTTTTGGTTTGGTGTCGTTCCTCTTCGTTTTAACGGTGGCACGGCAGTATAACTCGATCGGCAGGCCATGTGCGGTGGGGTAATATATGTGAATACTCTCACCTCATTCAAGGTGTCTGACCAGTGTGGAAGCACTGGCGGAGCCAGTGGGGGTGGCACGTGCCCCCCCCCCAATGATCCGATCGAAATCCCTAATTTCGATCAGATCATTTGGGTTAATTGTTAGTAGTAAATCGGCATTTTGCCACACACACTGCCACTATGTAGCATATTATTACGTGCCAGGGACTCTATGAGATGATAGGATAATAGTCTGGGTCCATAATTGGCAATAAGTAAGGGCAAAGCAGTTATAAGTGACTCACAGAATTATACGCAGTTGCGTATAAAGGACACGACTTCCCTGAAGGCATCACCACCTTCAGCGAGCGCGATGCCGATCACACAACGCGGTTCGAATTCGACCCTCGATCGATGGCTGCGCCATCGCTGCATACGCGTCGAATAAAGAGCAAGGGACAAGTCTTTACAACTCCTATCATTTTTTATTGCTGGAGGGGTTGCCCCCCTACCTGAAAATCTTGGCTCCGCCATTGTGTGGAAGAGTAGGCCAAATACCCGCAAGATGGGCTCTCAAGGCCTTCTTCTGGTGAAAGCCTCTCTGCCAGAAATAGCGTGAGCCAGCAATTGCAGGGGTGCACCTTCACCATAAAGTCTGCGTGTACTAACGTACACACGTAAGACAAGGTGACATGTTTTAAAAGAAAGTTTCCCATGACATTTGCGTGGTGACATTTAAAAAAAAAAATTCGCTATTTCAGCGTGTTCTATACTCGATAGGAACACTGCTTTTGTGTTTTTTTTATTTTATAAAACTTGGGGAACTTTTCTGGCTGTGATTTATAGGAACAAGTGAAATACTAAAAATAAAATAATCATACAAATTGTATTATTATTATTATTCTTTGTTTCACCTACGTGACTTTACCGAAAGAACCAAAGAGTATGGATTCTTGCAATCACGAAAACTTCAAATCTAGAATTAAGTTAAATTCTCTTCTCCACCGTCATCATTCACCATCGTCCACCACGATAAATCAACTGCAACAGACGTCCTCTTGTCCGCCACTTCAACGTTATTCGCGAGCACCGGCCGCTATCCCTTTTAGCGACGGTAACACCGCCGCCATCGTCGATACGCTGCCTTGTAATTGAAAGAATATAAATAAGCTCGGGTGTTTTGCCAATGGCCAGGCCATTCAAAGCAGGGCGAGGGAATTTAAGTGCCCTGAGGTTGTGGTTGTAAATGTTGGCTTTTGTGTTGTACAAGTTGTCTGTGCGCCATTGCAATAAGTAGATATCGCTGTGCCTTTTGTTCGCCGAGGCACGCGCTGTTTTGCTTTCCAGTTGTAAATTGGACTCCTTGGGTACACAGCACTAATGCACACGCTCCGTTGTTATATCAGGGTGTCCCCGGTTCACCCAGCCTTGGAGGTCAAAAATAAATGTACAAGTTGTTATGCATACAGGCGCTCCAAGGGTTGGTCTGTGCACGTACCGCATGCTCCCCCAGCATTTGGAATGACAGGTGGCATCGCACAGCGTTTCTGTTTAAACATTGAGAATACTTATACCCATGACGACAAGCTGGGGGACACACCAGCCTTTTATAGAGCACAAGCAAAACGGTTTCAACAACAAGCACGCAGATTGCAGTCATCGTTTGACGAAATGTGTACTGAACTGATAGTGCGCTATTGGCCTGTTTTTGTGAGAAAATACCCGCGGGTAAATGTTAACGCACAACATTAGCTTTGGACGTGAACGAAAAAGACTCCCTCCTACTCCCAAGTCATCTCGTCACTGTGTAAATTTAAAGTGGCAACAAATGTCAAGAATTCACCCGTTATTTACAGCACTTCCAATGAGCCCTGAATTATTGCACCATATACGCTTTGTAAGACAAATTTAAACAAACGTTGTTTTCGTCAGCGCCGCATATCAAAAGTGTTTTTTGTTCTGGAAAAAAATGTTAAATCCCGAAGTCAGTAAAACAGAACTTAAAAAATATATAAAAACCACATCTTGCCTCTGTCAACTGTTGAAAACCCATAACGCGTGTGTCCATTTAAGAGCCGACTTACCAGTTCTCGCGTTCCATACAGTGCAGTTTTTAAGTTCATCTGTGTCGTAGCCAGGAACAAAAAAAACCGACTGGTATGTCTGAGCAGAGGAAGGGGGCATGATGGATCGTCAGAGAAGCAGCTGGAGGAATAGCGAGGAAGTGAGAGAGGGGGGTCAGCATGGGGTGAGGGTGGCCAGTGTTTTCAGCAGCAGGTGCCGGAGCCTCTCTCTCTTGCGGTGTGCGTTCGTACGCGCGCACGTACGTGTGTGTGTGTACGTGTGGCCTCTCCTAGGTCGACTCAGCCTCCAATGAGTACCTGGTGCGGTGTTTAAACATCGCTACTGGGGAAACAAAGGCCGTCGGGCGTGGTGCTGGCCACTACCCCCTTGTGTGCCGTTCCGATCTTCATAGGTGCTCGCTAAACAGCACTTGCTCCTTCGAGTCTGTTAAGGCTATAGGGGTGTCTATGTACGTGTGTGTGCAAATACAGTAGCACCGTGGTTATCGTGCTGCACTACAAACTTGGTGACTTGGGTTCAATTCAGTGGTGATTATATGAATCGGTCCTGGGCTTCTGCTAGGCTGACTCAGCCTTAAATGAGTACCCCGTGCATTATGTGAACATCAGCATTTGGGAGACGTGGGGTGGCCAGCCAGGCTTGGTGTCGACCAGACACCCCTTCGACCGCTGCGCCGGCCTTAACAGGTGTCTCGCGAACATCCACGTGCCATGCCGCTAAGCGAGAATCTTCGTCTTTCCTTCTCACGTTCGCGTGCAGACGAGAAGCCGGACTGCTCGGGCGTGCGCTGCGTCGTGCAGTTCTCCCCACGCTGCCCCGACGACTCCGTGCTAATCGAGGGCTTTGCGCCCCCGGGCCTGTGCTGCCCGCTGCCCAGCCGATGCGAGTGCCGCCCAGCGGGCTGCGTGCGCAGGGCCTGCCCCTCGGACTCGCAGGCCACGCTCATGCGCAAGGCCACGGGGCGGCCCGGAGAGTGCTGCAACGTCTACGACTGCAAGCGCAGTGAGTGTCCACCCCCGCATCCACTTCCTCCCGCAACCTGCCACCACCCCCCCCCCCCCATTCCCCCACTCGACTAGCCCCCCGTCGGATTCAATGCCATGGTTAGTGGCATAACTTGTTGAGTGTGCAGGCAGTGCAACTGCACCGAGAACCAGGCGCCAGATTATGCAGAGTGGAGAAAGTCGAATTGGGATCCTATGTCATTCTTTGCGCCAGGACCCATGCCAACCGCGCGCTACGTCCCCTGCACGTGGCGTGAAGATGCCTGTTTCCTTCCACGCAGGTGCAATTGTGTTTCCCTCCTTCGTCCTTGGCGTGGGACTCCGAGAGAATTCGGTGGCTACGCGAGCTGCCCACCCCAACGCACGTGGGGGTTTCCATTTCCCGTGAAGGTTTTAGGTCATTGTGAAAATTCCCTAAACTTTTAACTGAATAATATGGACAAAATATAACAAATAAACTTTGTGGGTCTTTTGGTCAGGGGGGGACTTATTATGAACCAATTCTACTCTCTGGATTAATTATTTAGAAAAAATTATCTGCACAAGATTAATGCATTTATGTGTATTATCACTTCTCAAGAAGCACAGGAGTGGAACGATTCAGAGCTACCTCTACCAACCCTACTTAAATCAATTTGAGGATATCTTTTTCGATTCAGATTACACATCTATTAAATAATAAAAAAAATTAAGTAACTCCTCCTTTGATTGCAGGGGTGATATTAACCCATTTACATACATTAGAGGTACATCGTTAAACATCGACTCTTAGATGTGATATGCAAAGCATGTATTGTGAGCTTTAGAATCAACAGTAAGCAGGGAATCCTTCCAACCAGCTGTGATCACTTAGAAAAGTTAATATTTATAAGGTCCGTAATAGTGCACATGGAGAAACTTATCCAGAACAGTTCTTCTAGGTAAGCTTCTAGCTGGCACCATTACGTGCCATGTTAGATATTCTACACCAAAAGGCATCACAGGCCAGGAAACTATTGCCTCTGGTTACAACTTGTGCGATCGTTCGTGTGCCTTTTAAAAATTAAAAATACATGCGCCGCTTTTTGGGCGGAGTGCCATGCTGCGGCACCGCACGTGTTTTTGCCATTGTCCGTCGAGTCAGCGGTGAGTGCGAGAACGAGCACTTTCGAGATAGTTTTTAAACAAACTCTTAATTTCAAGTGTATATATATGTTTACAACAAAAAATCCTGCCAAATAAAGCCAGTCGGAACACAAGAAGACATCCACTTTATATATTTTGAAAAAAAAAAAATCTTTAATGGAATACATGCGATTGTAGACGTTACAAAACACCCTGCCCCAGTGATTCATAACATTTAAAAACAGCTGGTTTGATATCGTCACGTATACAGTACAAGCTTGCTTGGAGGAACCGTGATGTCAACAACCCAAAATAATAAAGTGGTTTATGCTGCTCACATTGTCAATGCCAACAGTCGACGGTCTTATGCAACTCCCGACAGACAGACAGTGGAAAGACGACACTCACCATGAGGTTACCAGAATGAGCTCTCACCAGTGGTCTAATGGGTTCTTCTTTTTGTAACATTTGAGTGAATGTTAGCGACCTCTTGTTGCTGGTGCGAGTCACTTGAACCCATTGCACACAACAACACATATCGATTGCTGCACACGGCGTTGTATCGTGAGCTTGAAGAATCGATATTGATCATTGAACCGATGTACCCTCACATTCCTGCTGTCGCAGCTGTGTTTGCAAAATGCAAGCTACGAACAGCGGTGTTTTGTTTATAGTTCATAGTGCTGCTTTGTGGAGGCTTAAACCGTAATCCTCTTGATTTAAAAAATAACATTCTGTCAGCCTTAGCTATAATGAGATGTAAAGGATTTTGAAACCTTATTGTGGCAGACGAGCAAAATATTTTTTTACCTCTTTGTTTCGGTTAAACAGAAGGGGTAAATGATCGAAAAATAAACTGATTGGAGTGTCGAGATGTTAACCGATACCTTTGGCCAGTTCACTGAGTGCTAGGTATGAATATCAAACCAGTGCCCTGCATTATGACTACCCCCCCCCCCCCCCAGACAATCTGTTTTGAATTACTGCCGGACTTCTAAGTTTGTGATATGCAATATTTCAAAATGCTTTTAACAGCTTCGCAGACTTCATCTGCCAATATGGTTTCTATAATTATTTATTTTAGTTGCGAGCCATGTGGGATGTTCTTAAGGGTGCAGTGTTTATGCTACTAGCAAACCACACCGTGTTCAGAGCTCCACATTTTCTTTCTTGCTTTTTTGTTTTGTTCTGAGAGCTTTCAAAAGTCCCTCGCCACAAGTATGAACTATTCACATCTGGTTTTGTATCGGTGGGGCTTTCTTCAATTGACTGGGTCTCAAAGCCGTTGCTCTTCTACAAAGTGCCCTTTTTCATCTCAGCTCGGAATGAAATGAGTGCCCAGTCCTGTAATCTTGTTAGAATACTTTAAAAAAATGTGTAATGTACAGCTCTGTAATTATTTATTCCCTTCGCCTTTCCGTCACAGAATTAGTTAGACCATACTTCACCACACTGGTAAGTGTAGGTTCCAGAAGGGGATCGAGGATAAAAACAGTTTCCAGGGCCCACTAGAAATGTGACAATTCACCCCTCCAACATATGGGTTGGATTTTCACAAACTGGGGTCGCGATTCGATTCTGGAATAAATTATCTTCTGCACGTTTTTGCATCATCTTTCTATTGTTTCAGTTTTTTACATCATTTGTACAGTTGTGTTCACATCATGAATACAAATGTAACATTCGCATATAATTAGCATATACTTGGCACACATTTCTTTTTGTTAACTCCTACGCGCACGATTCAATACGTGTTATGAGAGTGTAGGAATTTATTGTTTCATCGACAAATCAATGCATCATCCTCATCATCAATATTATGCAATCACACCTCCGATTAGCAGGGTGCGAAAGAAGTTCAACGTACACGCACAGCTCGCACGCGCCAGAACGTGGCACGCATTGAGCCGTGGCAGGGCACGGGGGCCTTGGCAAGACGAGCGAGGCAGCAGCCTTAACGCTGCTGCAGGGTCTCCCGGACTCCTGATGCATCTTGCCAAGTTCATCAATTTAGATTACAGCATAAATGAAGCCATTACACACTGAGCACACCTGATGATCACTAAACACCTGCCACGTGCCCCGCGTGACGTAAAGAGCACCATTTGGAACATGTCTAGCAATCAGCAGGCACATGCAGTGTGTAACAACTTATTGCATTTGAAGGGAGACAATCAGTAAGCCTGGAAGGATGTGCCGAGGCGCCCCGAGTTCGAGTGTAGCTGGCGATTCTGCTGCGTTGGCAGTGATACACAAGCACAATTCATAGATTCAGCACATTCATCTCTAACAACTTTGTGTCCTTTAAAAATATATATAATAGGCAAGGGCCATTTCCCGAAACGCCGCCTGTTATATTTATGCATTTAAGGCCACAGTGTTGTTGATGAATGCGTTGAGTTTTTATTGAGTCCCGAGTGTTATCAGAAGTGGTCTCGGGTCCCATTCTGTCTTCCCCAACTGGCACCAGCCAACGTGGTGAACTATTGTCAAACAACGACCATTAGGAGGGCTTCATCTAAGCAATAAATGACACGACAAATATGTTTCAGTATTTTAACACCAAAACTTGACGCGATAATATGCTCGTGTTCGTGAGATAAAATCCTCCGATGTTATTTTAAATGGATGCATTTAAAATCACTGTAGGTCATTCTCCCACATCAATATCAGTGCTAGACCTTGAATGACACCCACGTAGTTCTGTATAAAATAACAAATACCTCTGCTCTGTGCTTGGCAAGGTGCCATTATTTTAAAACGTACATAGCTGGTAGTTTACGGGTCAGCCCAGTTTAAGCGGGGTCCCTTCCCACTGGATCACGACTCAAGTGCCGGGGCAAGATTGCAAGCGGAGAAAATTGCCAGGACGAACGTTCAAATTGGTCTTGAACTTGGCAGTGGCCCAGTGTGTTTATACCGATTTCCGAGTCACATCAGGCACAGTCACTTGAGAGCCTGTGATTTACCGGGTTTGCTTTCCAGCAACATTAGGATTAATGCTCGAATTGCTATACACACATTGTTATCGGCATTAAAAAAATAGTTATAATAGACTGAAAAACGTGTTTGACTTCATGATGTAACATTGAACTGGTGCACTGATAGCAGAATGGGGAGAACGTAGACAGAGGGGGGAATCGCAGTGGAAGACGAGAAAGATAAAATGTAGAGCATATCTCTTGCCACTTGAGTAACAACGAGTGCATTGCCACTCGCTTATCTGGAAGGTGAAGATTGTGGTTTGGTGAGACAGAACGTCAGTGCGTCGAAATGCGCGGCCGCTGATTCTCAGGTTTCTAGGCGTCACTTAAAAAAACAGCGAGTAATCTTACTGCGAAGGCAGTCAACCTGCCCACTTGCCGATTGCATAGATTAACAACAACCCAAAAAAATTGTCGTGCAAAAAAAAAACCGACTGCACTATTTTTGGTACTTGTTCCCTGGTCAGAGTGTTCCGTCGGTAGCGCACTCCTTCGTGGCGAGTGTGCTCAGGGCTTAATTTTAGCTGGGTCTGTCTGGGTCAGCGACCCGGAAAATATACATGCACCCTGCACATCGCATCCAGTATGCCTCTCGCGATGACCGCGGTTGCTCAGTCAAATTTCTTTACTCCAGGCTCTTAGCCATTTAGGCATCATGCGTGCCACTTGTGCGTCACATCGCAGTGCCATTGTGGCACGCCACCGCCATGGTGAGAGTGATTGCAAACTGGAACCGCAGAGAGTGTGGGATCACGGTGGGGGGGGGGGAATGGAGGGCAGGAGATGGGGGGGCTATGAGGATGTTTACGGGTCCAGCTCTTCTCCCCCGCACCCCCTCTCCCAGTGCGGGCGAGCGAGCGTGCGCACGCACAGTAGCTTTCCATGTGCTCTGGCACGCAGGGGTCGTGTTTCTAATTTTTTTGCACATGGTGCTTTTCATAGCGGTGCGCGCTGGAAGTAAACAGATCGTCGGTTGATGGCGTGCTCGTGGGTGAGAGCTGTAAAAATGTGTTTTCTCGGCCCTCGGTTGTTTTTGTCAATGATGGACTCTATTCCACACGTGGAGAACATTAAGCCATAACTTAAAGCATGCACCTATTGATAACATTCCTTAACCAAAATCCACAAGGAGCCCTGATGCATTGCTGTATATGCAAACCTCCAATTTATTGGTGGGACTGAATTTTCTGAGCAAGGTGTAAAATGTGTGCTCGCATAAACAAAATGACTTGGCTATACGTTATTTCACTTACATGCTCATCTGTCTCTGTACGTGCATGTCTCTGTATGTGTCTATCCGTGTGTGAGTCTGCTTGCACATGTGTGCCTGTGCGCGAATATCTGTGTGCATGCGCGTGTGTTTCTGTGTGTGCACGCATGTGTATCTTTGTACTGTGTGGGGAGCAGTGGTGTAGCGGTTAGCACTGCAAACTCGGGCACCCGAGTTCGATTCCGGCTCATGGCCAACACCAATGACCATTATTTGAACCGGGCCTGGGCCTCCCCTAAGTCGGCACAGCTTAAAACGAGTATCTGCTGCTGTGTGTAAAAATATCACCGCTGGGGAAACAAGCCGGCCTTCATATGTGCTTGCTAGCAGCACTTACCCCAACAGTCTGTCAAGGCTATATGGGGGATCTTGGTCTTTGTCTTTTGTCTGTATTGTGAGGAGCGGTAGTGTAGCGTGTAGTGCACTGCGCTATGAACCTAACGATACGAGTTCAATCCCCACTCACGACCAACAACAGTGGAGAATATCTGAACCGGTTCTGGGCCTCCCCTAGGTTGACTCAGCCTCAAATGAGTACCTGGTGTGGCTGATCATGTACCAAAGGTGGCCAGGTGTGGTGGGGGTGGTGTCGCCACACCACCCCCTCATGTGCCCGGCCGGTCTTCATAGGTGCTCGCTAGCAGCCCTTGCCCCAGCAGTCTGTTAAGCCTTCACGGAGGATCTCTGCTTTCTCTCTCCGTGCATTCCCCCTTCTGCCGCGATCTGCCTCGTGGGCTCCTCCAGCATTCGACTCGGACTGCAGAGGGGTGGAGTGCCCTCCCGTGCTGGACGTGAGCTGCCCGCTGGACAGCCAGCCCACGCCCGGCAAGCTGACGAGGGACGGATGCTGCGTGCAGCCCGACTCCCTCAGGTAGGTCGATCGCTCAGTGGCTCGCTGACTTGCTCGCTCACTCACTCGCCAGTTCTTACGCTCGCTCACTCAATGAGTCACCACTTTACTCCCTCCCCGGTGGCATATCCAACATTGGCAGCCGTGTCTCTTTCTGTCTCTCTTGGGATGTGTAATTGACATCCCGAAGACTGCTGTTTTTCAATACCTAATTTACGTTCAGATTTTTTTTGTGTTTAAGTTGTTGATTCATTATTTTGCTGCTGGTGGGCAGTCTTACGTAATTATTTTATTAATTGTGATGTGAATGAAAATTGTACTCCCTGTGGAGAGGGTTATGGTCACCATTTGCAGTTCAAGTTTAAAGACACAACTCCTAGCTGGCCGACATGAGCTTGAAGATTAGAAAAGAGACTTTATATTGCCAGGTGTATCATTATAGCCTTCCGGTGACATCAATTCAATACGTTTCCGATTACATTAATCCAATGACGTCACTGAAATGCTAAAATAAAAGTCGCACTTTAAAGTGTCATAAAACAGGGGACACACACATATACCCCAAGTGTGCAGCTGCAGCAACAATAAGACCTGGTGTTTTTCGTGTAAGGCTTTCCTCCCACTGGTTGAACACATTTGTGCATTAACTGTGTTGACCATAATGGAGGGACATTTTTAAATGTCATCAAGAACATCCAATATCAATCAGTGTCGTATCAAGTTGTTTTTCTGTTGGGGACTAGCCCATATTGTAAATTGGCTACATTGATCAAAGGATTCCCTAAACTTTGAAGGCTCAACCCAGAGCAAAAAACTGACTATTTTCAAATATGCAAAATGCATTTTGCAACTGACATCCATGAATCAGCTTTCATACTGCTAAGTTAATCCTTCCACACACAAACATGCATTGAACAACATCATATCATCCACTCGTGTGCTTGTTTTGAGCCGCGTCGCTCCTTTAAACACGGGCTTCAAGCCTCGTCGTATCCCTTGTCCTGTCGCGTCGCTGCCACCCAGGTGCGTGTGCGGCCCTTCGGAGTGCAGCAAGCCTGAGTGCGAGGCGGGGACCGTGGCCAGGCTGCTGATCCGCGGCGATGGCACGCCGGGGCAGTGCTGCGACGTCTACGAGTGCGTCAAAGGTAACGGCTCCCCCGGAGCTCCGCCACTGACTCACGTCCGCAGCCTGTGACTCGATCACCCCCAGCGGAGCCGTTGCCTTCGCTTTACAGATCCCCGCTGGGCAGGAAGGCATTCGCCCAACGAAGCGGTTTAATCTGGAGGAGTGTTGTAGCAGGAAAAATATTCCGTGTGCTGGGCTTGAGTAAACAGCAAAGATTGTTGGGTGTAGTCGATGGCATCAACAGGTTAAAGGAATGAAAAACAATGTCTGTTATCTTATAGAGTAATAACCGGATAATATATATATATCTATTATATGATATAAGTTTAAAGCTTCACAAGTAAGAAGAAACATGCATGAAAATCACGGATATGCCCTAAGTGTCAGCGCTGTGGGGATGTAATATCATAAAAGGTGATGAGTGCATCCTACTGATTTTAAAGTGTTTTTTTGTTGCTCATCAATAAAGATTGAATGCAATTTCACACAGCGCAGCGACACTCGACAAGATAAGATTGTGTCTCGAAAAACACTTTTTATTTCATCAGTGTTATCGACATACGTTGATTAACACTACCCCCAATCACTCCACGAACACAGACGAATGAAAACTTACTACACATCTACTTACTTTAATTTAAAGCACTTCACAGCGAACGGCAATATTCCCAGCAGTCTGTCCGAGGGGAAACAAGGGGAGGGGAGAGCGGGGGGTTGGCAGGGCTGGGGGGGAACTCGTCACTCACGCTCGTGTGCGCGGTGGCGACGGTGATCGCAGGCACGGGGCGGACGTGCGCGTTCAGCGGCGTGGAGCTGGCGGACGGCGAGACGTACCGCCTGGACGCCTGCCGCTTCTGCCGCTGCCGCGCCGGCGTGTCCTTCTGCTTCGCGGCGCAGTGCGGGGAGCTGCGCTGCCAGCGCTACTATACGCCGCCTGGGGAGTGCTGCCCGGTGTGCGAGGGTAAGCCGCCGCCGCCGCCGCTGCCACCTCTGCCACCGCTGCTGCCACCACTGCCACCGCCGCTGCCACCGCTGCCACCGCCGCTGCCACCGCCGCTGCCGCCGCTGCCACCGCCGCTGCCGCCGCCTCTACCACCACTGCCACCACCGCTGCCACCGCTGCCACCGCCGCTGCCACCGCCGCTGCCGCCGCTGCCACCGCCGCTGCCGCCGCTGCCACCGCCGCTGCCACCGCCGCTGCCGCCGCTGCCACCGCCGCTGCACCGCCGCTGCCACCGCCGCTGCCGCCGCTGCCACCGCCGCTGCCGCCGCTGCCACCGCCGCTGCCACCGCCGCCGCCGCCGCTGCCACCGCCGCTGCCACCGCCGCTGCCACCGCCGCTGCCACCGCCGCCGCCGCTGCCACCGCCGCTGCCACCGCCTCTGCCGCCGCTGCCACCGCCGCTGCCGCCGCCTCTGCCACCACTGCCACCACCGCTGCCACCGCCGCACACGCTCACACGAGGTGGCGCGTGCTGGGTTGCGCAAATGCGATTTCACTATTTTTTATTTTACCAGGTGAGGCCCACTGAGCTGTAGGGCTCTTTTTTTTTCAAAGCGACCTGGCTATCACAAATGATCGCTCATCGAAGTTGCTTATCACGCGGACATTTATTTGCAGGCAAATACTTTAAACACGTGTTTCTCAATGTGGAGGGGAAAACCTGAGGGCCCAGAGAAAAATCCACACGACCACGGGGAGAACATGTTCGCGACGCTTCTGTGGCATGCGTGAAGTCTCAATAATGAAATCGATAAGTCACGTGTGATATCTGACATTATGATGATTATTATTTGAATGTTATTTTTAATAGAATAACTCATTTTTTGGGTATTTTTATGCACCAAAAATGCCCAAGCTTTCTCTGGACATGATGATGAGGATAATATATGACAACAATTATTATGATAACAATGATGATTATTGCTGATTAATCATTACGATGATGATAACAATCCCAACAATGATGATGATGACAATTGCAACGATGATGGTGACTGTTGATGGTGATGAAAATGATGATGGCTACAATGTTCTTGGTGATGACGACGATTGATGACAACGACGATTGTTGTCAATATCGACGATTACGATATTGACAACAATGGTGAAGACAATCGCGATGATCCCGCGCGCTCGCCTCTGCCCCTCCGCGCACGCTAGACGCCATGACGGCTCCGAGCAACCCGGCTGGCTGCTTCGCTGCGGGGGAGATCCGGGCGCACGGCGCTCGCTGGCGCGAGGACGACTGCACCTTCTGCCGCTGCGTGGACGGGGAGCCGCAGTGTACGGCGACGGCGTGCGGCCAGAGCTGCCTGCACCCCGTCAAGATCCCCGGGGAGTGCTGCCCCGTCTGCGAAGGTCAGGCGCTGGTCCGATGGCGTCGCCCGACGACTGCTCCCGTGTCTGTTGAGCAGCGTGCCCCCCGCGGTGCTTCCGTTGATGGGCGAGGGACCCAATCCTCGAGTGGATTTTCAGATTGTGCTGTCTGGTGTTTTTTTGCTGCCACCGTTTTTGAAATTTATTACTAAAAACGTAGTTGTCCGCTCACCTGCCCACTTATCTCCTTGCCCATCTGCACCCTTACCTGCCTACCTGCCTGTGTGTATGTCTCTGGCTAAATACACTACAGAGTATAGGGATATAGCAACAATGGGGAAGTGTTCTGGGGAAAAATTACTTGATAACAGCTTATTGTCCAGAAAGCTGAGGTGTTATTGTTTGAATTGGATGAAATCAATGAGTTATTAGGTTCGTTGGGCAGCTGTCTGTGGGGAGATGAAGCAATAAAAAAACTATCAAAAGTGGATTGCAAAGTGTTCCAGTGAAGCTGAAGCACGGGTTACTTTTAAAAAACAATAACGGTGGACTTACCTACTTTCCATCACGATTACTTCCTATACAACTGATTTATTTTCAGGTTTACTTTTCCTGATTCGTCCTTGCATGAGTGTTGTAAAGGAAACACAGTGCCATCCAGTACGATTTGGATTTCTACAATGTCATCGGTCTCAAGACGCTGTACACAGCACGGAGATGTGCATATCAAGTGGCGTTTGGGAACAGTAGGGCACACTTTTTTTAGCGGAAGGCAGTGAGTGAGGGGCCAGAATGCTGTATGGCAGCGAGATGACATGAATGGTAAAGTGCCACTTCAAGACATTTCATGGAGAAGAGAGGCAGTCAGCCATATACGGAGGAGTAGAGGAAGGTCTGGAGCCTGAACCTGGGCAGTGTATCAGGGATCCCGCAGTGTAGATGGCCAAAAAGACTGAATTCCAGGGTCTGGGGCGCAGGGCCGGATTAAGGTTCTTGTAGGCCCTAGGCACTTCTGTTTCATAGGCCTTTCATTGATAACGTTCTACAGTGAGTACTGCTGCCCCCTGTTACTACTACCGCCGCTGTCACTCCGCTTATTTCTCGCGTAGGACAACAACGCCTTTTCTTCCCTTGCACTACTCTCTATTGAGAATGATATTTTGCGAAAAAACACCATTTTTAGATGTTATTCATAATTTTGCAATGAAAAATCTCGAAAAGTTCTTCTCCGGTGTTAATTTATCTCACCTTATGAAAAAAACAACGATTGATATTGACATGACTCTGCCTCTTTGTATATACACTTGCTAAATATATATACATATATGTATTCTAGAAGATATCTTGGTTACATTTTTTTTTATCATACATACAAACAAAAATACATAGTCACATTTTTTTTTTGTAGGCATAAAAGGGCCCTGGTGTGGGGGGGGGGGGCGCTTATGCACAGAGGGATCAACTTTGCCATCGAACTTTGCCATCGAATGGAGGATGACTGGGTCGTTGAGACAAGACCGTGGTCGCTTGAGCGTAGGGCACATAAAAGCATAACTTGGGAATACAATCCCGTCTGGCTGGATTTAAATTTCACCCATGTGGTCAGGGAACAGCAGGGAAAGGTCACGCGGTGTTTAATCCGCAGAAGGGTTGTTTAAAGTTCATTACTCCGGGCCATAGATTTTTTGGGACGTTACCAGGTTATGAAATCTGACGTCGCATCAGAATCTTTGCGGCGAGCTCACGCCTCTGTAGAGCCCCCACCTGGATTACACACGGCCACTCTGACCGGCGCACGTAGTCTGCAGTGCCAAGTCTTAATTAGTCAGTTAACGGCCGGTAAATGGCTTACAACGTAAGGCTATTAGCAGGAATCCTGCGGTGGATTTCGATGTTAAAGCGCGCAGGAATGCAATCGCGGGACACTTCGGCAAAAACAGCGCTCAAAAGAAAAGTCATGGCGAAAAACAGCTGGAATGCATTTCTACAATTTAATGACAAAATTGGAAACTGTTTCTAACATAGTTTCATGATGATACCTGAATGAAATACACGAGCATCTTCCTTCCTGTTAATCCCATCCGCAAATAAAAGTCATTGCCGTAATTCAATAAGCGTTGTGCTGCTCGTGCCTGCGCCCATTTGCTGGGATGAATACGTCGTGTTTTCACTGCAATTTGCCGAAAATGCAGTAAACAGATGTTATCGGGCGCAGGTCTGGCAGCGTACGGCACATTCATGTGGGCCCCGTTTGCTGGTGAAGTCAGTGTTGTTATTTACAGCTGAAGCGTTCGGGCCGTTGAGCTTCGCCGGAATGTGTGGGAGGCGGTAGATATTAATCTGGTAAATGCTGGAGCAGATTAGCGCGCAAGTTATGTGTAAACCTGATGGGCCCCGCTAGCAGGAGTTTGCTTTGGCAGCAGGGAGAAAGAAAAAAACTGGTGGGGAGAAATAATGAGCTTAAGGGTCTTGGCGCCGGAAAGTGAGACTGCCCTTTAGCTTCTGCTTTTCATCGTTCCCGTCGTGTTTCAGGCTGACTCTCCCCCCCCCCCCCCAGACCTGCCTCCCTGAAAAACCTTGACCGTTGCGTTTATTACGAGCGTGGTGCCGCTGAAGCGCTTTGCTGTCTCCGTTCGGCACTGCGGTGCGGAGAGAGCGGTGCGCGTGGAGACGCTCGCGCCTTTGTGGTGCCATGAGATGATTATCTTAGGACTCACTGATCCATCGCAATTTATTTGCGTGCTATGTACGGTAGGAGCGATTATCTTGTTGAGTTACTTTTTTTTTTCAAATCTCTGTTGATTTTTACGATTTGTCTGGGTTTGTTTTTCTTGCGCTGAAATACGTAGGTCGCCGTTTTTAAACAAGGCTCTTGTCTCAGTAAGCTCCTGCCTGCTTATAAAGTCCGTGCATGCATGCATGTATGTAAAGGGGTGTAACGATGCATTGATGAATGTATTGACGAATACTCTTCCACTCGCAGAGCCGACACTGATCACCGTGGTGCCGCCCGTGTGCCGGGCCGTGGGGAACTGCAGCCTGCGCGACTCCGACTGCGCCCACGGCTTCCGCCTCGACTCGCACGGCTGCCGCCTCTGCCAGTGCAAAACGAGTACGATGCACGGCGGGCACCGCACCGCACTCACAGCACAGCACATGCCATAGCACTGCACCACACTCACATACCACGGCACCGTACACACCACTGCACCGCGCTCACACACCATATCACCGCAGCTCACACACCACAGCACCACACTCACACCACAGCACCGCACTCCGCATCGCGTCGCACGCGCATGCCACAGCACAGCACGCACCACAACAGCACACCGCGCTCAAACAGAACAGCACCACACCGCAATCACACAGCATCGCTCTGACGCACCGCACCGCACACACTACGCAGTACGGCATGCAGAATGACACCACCCTGGCCCACCGTGCCGTGCACGCCTGCCAAGCGCGCAGCACACCACATTGTCACCACGCACACAAATGCACAACAACTGCCTCAACCCATGTCACAGCTCAGCCCTGTGTAATATTACACACTCACCTGAGTTCAATACCTGGCCATGGCTACATTAGTCACAAGTGATATCTTGACTGGTGCTGGGGTCCCCCTCTTCGCCAGCCTGCACTAACCAGCGTGGTGAAGTATGGTTAAACAACCCCTATGACTGACACAGTGTGGGAAGGCCTTTGTTCAGCAGTGGATTATCAAAGAGGCTGGAAAAAAAAGGCCTGAAATTGTTCATCATTAACAAATTATTCTTACTTTCAAAGTATACATGCATGTGTGTAGGCACCTGTTGTTTAGAAAATGTGTTTATTATGGGAGTTGTACACACATTTATTTACAAAAGTTACGTTTAGACGAATGGGGCTGGACAAATGAGATAACACAAATGGGAAACACAATCAAACAAAATATCCTGAAGACAAACAAATCAATCCCTAAATCAAACCATGGCCCCTTCTTCATGACAATTATTTTTAATTGCCAGCACTGAATGATTACATGATCTGTACACTGCAGCGTATTTATATATCCGTAACGCACCGATATACACACAGCAATGTTCCATCTCATGCCCACATTGTGAATTCGTCACAACCCATGGTTCTACAATTAAAACACAAGTGTGTGATGACAACTGCACAAGAATTCACATCAAAAATAAATGCCACGATGTTATCGTCGTTTGCACGTCGCGGCCACCCAACTCTCACCGGTAGCTAGATTAATCCGCTGGCGATTGGGACTCACCTCTCACCGGTAGCTAGATTAATCCGCTGGCGATTGCGTATGGTAGACACATAATGTTTGGAATTTGCCAAAGCCTCTGCCTTTTTTTGATCGCAATGCCCAAAATTCCGCATTTTTATTTATTTTACTATAAAAAAACTGACCTTAAGTAGGACGGGAAAATAGAAACAGACCTCTTGTCAAAGGAAAAGGGTGTTGATCGTATAATGGGTAACTTTTCGTTTGTGTGATCTTGAGCCCAAGAGTATAAATCAGAGCAACTTCTCGTCGTACGTTGTCGTCGGGAAAGTGCCCAAATATGAAGTGAAGATAAATTGCTAACCAGCTTGACAGATTATATACTGTGGATACGTTTAATGTAACTAAAGCGAATGATGCGGGCATTAAAAGTATAATGTCATTTTGATTTATGTGGCATCTAGATAAATGGAATGTGTTAGACTATACACGGAAATACCATGCCAACACACTGGCTATACATCTCTGCAGCAATGTCATATCGTCCTGGAGGGACACTTATCAACCTCTTGTAAACTGAACGCTAGCACCTTGTACTTAAAATAAACCAATTCGTTGAAACCACTTTGGTTATACCTTGAAATAAGACATTAAAATTATGATTAATTTTCAAAACTATTTAAACTCCAAAAAGTACATTTTAATTTCATGTAAACAGAGGAGTGGAGCGGTGGCATAGCAGGTAGCGCACTCGGCTGCGAGCCCAGTGACCCAAAGTGTTTGATTCCCGGCCATGGCTAACATGGGCGGCGAGTGACACCTGAACCCGTTTGTTTCCTTTTCCCCATCTGCCACTGGCAGACATGGTGAAGTATTGCCAAAGAACCCCCTATGACCGACGCGGCCGTGGGGAGGCTATCTAGCGCTCCCTTTATTTTTAAGCCCTTTCCACCAGCAGCAGCAGCAGCAGCGGAGCGGGAAATTGCAGGATGGTACCTTCACACCTTCTCCCGTTTGCAAACGAACATGAACCACGGTGTGCCTCCTCGCTCTGTGCGTAGAAGCGGAGGCGTGCGCTGGGCTCATGGTGGGCTGCACCCTGGACTGCCCCTTCGGCTTCGTGCTGGACGACGCGAGCGGCTGCGAGAGCTGCCAGTGCCGTGCCAAGGCCCGCAAGTGCCGCCCCACTGCGTGCGACAAGCACTGCCCCTACGGATACATGTGAGGCACAGCGCCGGCGCTTTCGTGTCCGTCTCTCGCGGTGACTGTGTCCGTGTCTGATTTGTCCGATATTATGAAACCACTGGAACCATGCACTTTTAAAACTAGATTGAGAACTCATTTGTTTAGAATTGCTTTTTGTGTATTAGTTTGCACGGTTTGCCACGTACGGTGCGACAGACGTTCCACGTAGACACGTGTAGGATATTTACTGAGTGACCGGTATGTTGTGCGTGATGCGGGTTTCGGCGTTTTTGAACGATAAACTCTCTGCGGATGCGTGGACATCACTGTTAGCGCGTAATGCTTCAACTTGTGGCGATGCTCTTTTGTCTCGTTTATACCGTCTCGCCTGCATTGTTTTAATTTAGCTCCGACTGGTTTGTATAGTTTTGTTCGCACCGTGAACACAAATGTGTAACTGGTATATCATCGGCATATCAATTGCACAATGCATAAGCAACAATAAATAAAAAAATCCGCACACAATTCAACGTGTGTATTGCGGTGCATAGGAACCGAAACAAAATATGCAAAGTAGGAAACGCCTTACCCATTGTCTGCCCCGACAGTTATCAGGATGAACAAAACGCACGAGCAATAAGGAATCCAGAGCTATCGCCCGGCGGCGCCGCGGTATCTTAAGGGAGCAGGTGGAGGTGGCGGTGGTGGCGGCCGCCGCGGTGCTGTCACCGCCAAGGTTTACGGCTGTGCTCTTTGCCAGGACCAACAAGCAGGGCTGCGAGGCCTGCCGCTGCATGAAGTGCCCTCCCTCCGCGTGTACCAAGCAATGCCTCTTTGGCTTCCAGCACAACAGCAAGGGCTGCCAGGTCTGCAAGTGCAAAGGTGCGATCGCGCGCGGGGAATGCCAAGAACTGCTGAGCGCGCACACGTGAAAATAAGTAACATTATTTTATTTATTTTTTCTTCAAGTCGCAGTGGCATCGCATGAAGTGGTTTTTGGAACATCTTTAGTGAAACTTCTGTAGTCGGATTTTTTTTTTTTAAGTGCGTTGTCAATCAATTTTGGTGCTTTGAAACTGGTTGTATGGGGAAAAAAGTATTACGCTGAAAACCAGTTCTATTGGAATAAAATCTATCGCACGCACAGCAAATTCCCGCTCGTCGACAGTATCTCAGGTTTAAAAGGTGCGAGCGGTGTTTCTTACCAGAAAAATATTCTGCAGTAAACTCGGCATCTATTTTCAAATTCTTTTGCTCTTTTTCTTAGCTCCACATCTGCCAGAATACCCTGGTTTGGGTTGAAAGGTGGCCCATGTTTTTCCCAGCATAGTAATAATAATAATTATTTATCTAGGAAACTCTCACTGTTTGAGATTGAGTTTATTTTATTTGTTGCGGATTATCCCGTTTAGCCAGTTTGCCCGACTATTTTACAAGGGAGATTCGTGGTGCATGAGCACAGCAGCTACACAAATGTAAAGACAAAAACATCAATATTGCAGAGAACCAATGCACGGTCCTTAAGGCATGTTGAACAACTAACAAACGAAATATTCGATGCCCATAAACGAAACACACGCACATTAAAAAACAAAACAGTGCAAGTACTGTATGACAACATGTGCAAGTAAGCTTTATATTCTAGTCTAACAGTGACAAAAACGCGTGTGAATCGAACAAACAACAGTGCAAACATGTGGGAGCAACAGATGCCAGAATAAAGTTAGGCACAGGTACAAGTATGCTTTGGTCTCAGAGACATAACGTCGATTCTGCATTGGGATGTTTGGCCAATGGCATTGTATGAGTGCCACATCTTGGCCACTCCACAGCCCAACCCCTACAACACACATGCTACTCTCAGGCTCCAAAGATCCGACAAGATCGAGCGCATTCAGGGTGCTTAGTTCAGAGGCCACGTGGTCAATCAGCCACGTGCCTCCCTCAGGACCTCGCCTCCCGCACCCAACTCACCACAGTGCATGGCTCGTAAGGTGGTTTTAATAGGGTTGTAGGTGTACCAGAAGAATACACCACGTGATAGTGTTCTATTGAATTTAATGTAGACTTTGTATACGACACAACAGTTTTCTGGTCCAGTTGATTTACTGGAAAAAGAGCTTTATAGCTCATCGGATTCCTCCAGTCTAAATAAAGATTCTGATTCTGATATACAACTTACCCTACGTAACATATTACAGTGCATTTAAGATATATTATATACTACATTCGAGTGCATTTAATTTACACTATATTTTTTCTTTTGCCGGTATGTCATACTGTTTTTTTAACCGGTACACACACCAATTCACACATCCCCACGCTAACCACTGCTGTGTGGTGTGTGGTTTCCAGACAGCCCAGTGCTGCCCAGCCCCACGCTGCCCCCACTGCGCCCTGGCTCGTGTCTACTAATGGACGGGCGCCGTCGATCTGATGGAGAGGCCTGGCACGACGGCTGCCGGGAGTGCTACTGCCACTCCGGGCGGGAGATGTGTTCACTCATCGCGTGCCCAGCGCCTGTTTGCACCAACCCCACGCTCAAGCCCGGACGCTGCTGCCCGTCGTGTCACGGTACGTGCAGACCTCGTGTTGCTGCCACGGCACGTATGTATGTGTATGTGTGTTGAACGTACGACAACGTGCCGCGATTCCATTGCTGTAGTCACACGGATCGCTAAAGAGCAAAGTCTCGCCCAGGCAGTATCCCAGTAACTCTTGCGAATGGGACTCAGGCTGGCCTCTTTGAGTTGCCATCTTGTCAAACAGATAGTCTTGGCTTGACATGCAGCGGAAATGTGGCACGCTCATCAAATTGCCGAGTGAGCACACATCCATCCTGGACAACCCTGACAATGTGCAGACAACTCTCGATTATCTGTGGGTGGATTTTACACGGTATATTGGTTGAAGAATCAGCTGCTGCTCACTCGTGCCCATGTGACCGTGGACATGTCAGAAAATAAACCAAATTATTTGAGAACAGTAAAAACAGACAAAACACCTTGCGTATCCACCCCAATTTGACGTCGGTAAACAATAAATATGTATTTTTATATAGAAAGTTTTTATTGAGGTACGTACACACATCCGGTACAACGCACGGGCGCCGGGGACACATTCGTCTATGCGTCTGACTTTCCGAAGCATCTCACATACAACACAGAGCATACGGTGCCTTATTTGGTCAACCACACGCCATTGCTGTACAAGAGCGATGCCCCCCAGCAGCCGGCCAACGTCACGTGGGAGCACGCGGCTCACGTCCCGCTGTCGGCGTGCGTTGCGGTCAGACGGCAGTGACGAGGATGAGGCGGATCCCAGCGAGGAGGCGGCAGTGTGCCACTCGCCGGGCGGGCAGTCCTACGTGGAGGGCGAGACGTGGCCCATGGACGCTTGCACGCAGTGCGCGTGCCACGGCGGGCGCGTGCTGTGTGACAGCGAGGTGTGCCCTCCGCTGCTCTGCGCCAGCCCTGTGCGAACCCCCGACTCCTGCTGCCCTCACTGTCCAGGTGGGATGATGCTCGTTATCAATCGCTCGGCCTCACTTATTCTTCATCGACCCCTTGGTCTTCGCGATCGTTGGGGCACATCTTCTTTTGCCGGCTCCATGCGCTACTTCTCCGATCTCTCTCCGCTCCTTCTCTGTCCACTCTTTGATGTTGCTCTGATGCGAGGTCTGCCACATATCCTCTTGAGTCTTCTTCTACTTATCGTTCAATCACCGTGTACAGTCTGTCGCCTACTCGTCCTTCTTACACATCCAAAAAATATTTTCTGTACAGAACTATCTTGTTTGCAACATTGTCTATGAATTGCTGATTAAATGTATATGGGGCACTTGAACATTTAAGTGGTTTTTTGGGAGAAAAAATTACTTAATAACCCACAAAATATCGCCAGAAAGTTGTGCGTTGTTGAGAGTAGGTGAACTAATTTCATGAAGTGAGGGAATCATGAAGTGCCTTGTGTGGCCATCTGTAGGGAAATTATACAATGCAAACTTGCACTAATGGACTGTCAAATGTGGCAATGTAACCAAGTTAGGTTATCTAAAAAAAGGGGGGGGGGGGTGAAGGGGAATGTTGATTTTCATGCATTTCCAGGAAACCCCTGATTATCTGACAACACTGAGTGGAACAGATATGTGGGGTTTTGTCGTTTGTGTTCCAGCTCTACCTGAGCCCATGCATCGAAGCAGTGAATTAAATAGAGAGCACAAATCAAGCGTTACTGAAAAATGTTCCTTTCTCTCAGATTTTTTATGAAAAATTGTGGCAATGTCTCTAGCATCAACACTGGGGAAAATCATAAATACAATGCATCTGGCCATTTAGGCAACATGCATATCTGGCACTAAAATGATTAATGTATTTTATTACATTGAAAACAAGCAACAGCACTTGCTTGTGTGTTTCATTATGCACTGATTGATAACTGTTCGTAGTCATATCTAAATAACTAAAATGTGTTCAACTATAAAGTTGTGCCCTTTTATGTAAGTGCTTTCCTGTGTTTTTCCTCATTGAATCTTTCATGCAACGGGCCTACGGGGAGAGCGTGGCCGAGTATGTGGGATGTATGCGAGTGGTCCCAACATGCCGTCGTTACACGGCCGAACGCATTTGGCTAATTGTACAATCTGGACGGGTTGTGTGAACAATGGCACACCAAGCCCCAAGGACAGCACTTTTACATTATCAGGATTACAATTCATTGAGCGGCTCACAACTCCAGGCTCAGTAACCCAGCAGAACATGGTATTTCTACTGTCGGCAGAATATGTTTCTCATGGTACTGCAGCTCGATTGTTGCAACTCACTTCTCTACGGGACATCTGGCAAGAAACATTACCGAGCTGCAGTATGTACAAATTCTTTGGCTCATGTCGGTAATGCAAGATCCGACCATGTCTGTCCATTGCTCGCTGAGCTGTATTGGCTTCCGGTTGCCGAAGTAATACATTTTAAGGTTACACTCATTACACACAAAGTGCTTGCCACAAATGAACCGCAATACCTTGCCGATCTCGTCAAGGGGGATACACTATTACGCAAACTCCGGTTATGCTCGCAGCGGCTTTTTGCTCACTATCGAACAAAGACAGTCACTGCAGCCATCTGGAATGCTCTTCCTTCCGATATTAGGAAGCCACTTGGAGCTATGTTCTTTTAAATCTAAATTGAAAGCTCACTTCTGTAGAACTGTTTTTTGCATTAAGTTTGTTGTCCTTCCCCTGCACCTCCAATTAGCGTGGTTGAGGATATACGGTGCCAAAGGAGATCAACATACATACATATGTACGACTATATTGTAATAATAATAGGGACCGTTATTTACCAAGGAAAACCTCAGTACCATGAAATTAGTTGTTCGGCATTTGGGAGGTAAGTGGAGTGCCCAGAGAAAACCTAAACATATGGTGCATAACACTGAAGAATGTCCTATCCTGGCCACTTCACATATAAATGACAGATCGGTTCATTTGTCAATTACGTTTGTTGTAGCGCAATTCACGACTCCGAGGCAGGTTGCTGTTAGGGGCTCACGCCACGTTTATTTAAGGGCTTACGCCAGGTTGTTAAGGGCTTGTGCTGAACCAAAACCCCCCTAGCCAATAACTCCCCAGGAGACAGGGTACTGGGATCCCTACACCCCGGCTAACCCGGCTCTCCACCCTGCCCCGTTCCGGGACTACCCCCAACCTCGGCCGGTCGGGCGGAGTAGCCTCCCCTAGCCTCGTGTGAGGACCAACTACCCGAGTCCCCACTCCTACCCCCGACGAACCCCGGTTCCATCCCGGGTCCCCCTTTAAATACCCCCCTGGGGGGGCATGACGTCACCGTCTCCCACGGCCCGCCTGACGTCACGTCCCGCGACGCCAACTTTCTCCGAGGGCGCGCGTGACGTGATGTCACCCACTACACCTCTACACGTTTATACAGAAGCCCTTTGGATAGATAAGACAGGAGAAGTTGCCGTGGGTGGGACTCGAGGCCCGGTGATACCTCCTGATATAGTTCCCTACTCAATGGAGCAAGGCCATGACAGCTGTAGCCACAGAAATTGCGAGGCGCATGTCTACGTAAGTTTAGAGTTGCCGTGTGCCCTACGTTTATCTGGCTGCCAAGCGTTTTTAATCCGTGTCCGCAGGTTAGAAATAAAATGTCATGACTGCGTGGCTTCTCAAAATAAAGCAATAAGATTAGATTGCCCTGTGCCCATAAATATTGTCGTAACGATTGGGGAAATAACTGGACATTTTTAATCGGAGCTCGGCTAGCAACAGTGGGAGAGAGCGACTGTCCACATGCCGTGCCTTGTCACTAATTTTACATGGAGCAGGCAAGCCTCACATCTCCTGTCGTTACCTTGCTTCCTTTAACAGTAACTCTATATGCGGGTGTCAGAAATTCTGTCCGGGTGGCGCAGCGGTTTAGAGCGCTCGGCTCGCAATATAAAGGAGCGGTGAGTTAAAATCCTCTATCGGTGGTTGACGCAGCCCTTCTTGCCTCTGGGGTGGATAAAATAACTACCACTTTGTTAATAGTCAGCAGTTCGTTGTCCTAAGGATAGACTGTCTCCCCCCCGCCCCCCCCCCCCCCCTCCACAATAGAAATGTGGAATTTTTACCACTGGTTATGAAGGCTGTAAACAGGAGAGGGGCAATGCTCCACTATGGTCTGGATAACTTAAAAAATTGCTTCTGATGAATAGGCCTCGGCAAGGTAAGGTAAGGTAGAGAGTAGGGTAAAGGTAGCTCAGAAGAATTACCCGGTAGGGTAAGCGTAGGGTGAATAATTACCCGTTAAATACAGTACCTTGTTTACCGCTAAAAGTTCCGTGGCGCAGTGACGCAGTCCGTGGCCTCCATTTTAAAGTGATGGCGGAGCACATGGAGACGGTCCACGTTCTTGAGGTCGAGGTACTAGAGGACGAGGATGCCAGCAACGGCTTTTTTGGAGTTGCTGCGAACAGCAATCGAAAGAGGCAGCGGTATGCGTTCCCGTGGGAGCACACACACGATTGGATGGAGGGTGATCCGCATGCACAGCAAGGGAAGCGGCAGTGCGTGCACTGCCGCAAGTGGTTTTCCACCCACACGAACGCGTCAGGGTGGAAAGCCCAGGCAGCGAGGTCGGGACGTCGGCGTCGCGAGCCGCCTAATACAGCAAACGCTGAGCCGGCCAGCAATCCTGGATCGCCTCCTGGTAAAGTTTGAGAACTAGGTGGTGGATTTTGTTATCCAAGGTGCAATCTCTTTGCGAGCCGCCGGCAGTGACAAGTTCAAGAACTTGGTCAACACATTGACGCAGGGATACGAGGGCTCATCGACCCGCACCATCATTCGCAGGATTGTCGAGCATTACGCCATCATGCTGCCCATCGTCGGGGCGTTCTTCTCCAACCTGGACGTTGCCATCTCGCTCACTATCGACGGGTGGTCGAACCGCAACCTGAAGGGATTTTGGATGGTCACGGTGCACTGGATCGACAGCAAATCTGGTGCGTCAAAATCCATGCTGCTGACAATCCTCGATGTGCAGTCCGGAAGGGGTGTCGGCAAGCGCATTGGGGCCGCTCTGTTTTAGCACCTCTAAAGCCTCGGGCACAATATCTCGACCAAGCTGCTCGCTGTCACCAGCGACAATGGCTCCGATGCGAACAGTGCTGTCAAGACGTTGTTCGCCCTGGTCAATGTGGACGCCGGATATGAGCAGTTGCGGGCTTGCCACCATATTCGATGTGTGGATCATTCCGTCCAGATCGGTGTCGTCCAAGTTCTAAAACTGATCAAGTCAACAAATGCCGAACTGCGCAAGGCGCTTGTCAATATCAGGTACCGCCGCGAGGCTGAGATCACCAAGCTCGCCAGCAAGGAGCCGACGCACCAGGACTCGCCGACCAGGTGGCATTCGATGTTTGACATGGGCGACGACGCCATCAAGAAGCGTGTCCCATTGGACATTATCATGGCGCGCTTCCAGGATGTGATCGGTGTCGGTGCTTTATCTGAACTGCAGTGGGCAAACATCGAGGGCGTGACAGCATTCCTGCGAATGCCGCGCCAGGTCATGGCCTCGTTGTCGGCGGACCACAATTCGACATTGGATCTCGTGCCGGTGACGATTGAGCACCTCGTCCGTCATTGCGATCACGGTGAAGTCGCCCTTAGAGCGATCGATGAGCCCTTGACTGCGACGGGGATGAAGGCCGAACTGGTGCGGTACCGCCACCTACTGGTTCAGGAACCCGCCATTGTGGCATCCTACTTGAATCCACAGCTGCCGAAAACGACAGACCAAGACGAGCTGGCTACACTGAAGGCCACAATCCGCTCTGTCCTGCAGCATCGCTACTCGGACATGCTCACGATCTCGCCGACGGCAGTTGCTGCCCATATGGAGGAGCGGTCGCTGTTCAGCACCCTGTTCAGCAACGTCGGCAACTCCATAGACGACAGCGATGAACTCGATCGTTTTCTGAGCATGGGCGTCACGACCGCCAGCGCCTTCATTGACGTAATGCAGTGGTGGTTTCTCCGCAAAGAGCTGCTCCCCGCCCACTACAAGATGGCCTGCGACTACTTGGGAGCGCCGGCGACGTCAACTCCCTGTGAACGTGCGAATAGCGGAGCCGGGCGGGAGTTCACATGCGTTCGCCAGTCGCTGTCAACGACGCTCTTCATAAAGTCCATGTGCTTGCGCTCATGGATCACGGCCGGCTGCCTGAAGGTTCCGTCTAACTGGGCTGGAGCGGCGCAGGATCTTATTGCCTGTCGTCCGTCCAAGGATGATGGCAATGACGAACTTGATCAGGTTGTTGATGAGATCGCCATCGACCAAGACGACTGGGACGAGGAGGTTATCGAGGACGGTGTCGTCGACAGCCTAAACGCCCGATTTCAGAGTATTCTATATGAATAAAGCGTCTTCTTGGTTCTTTCGGTAAAGTCACGTAGAATGGAAATAATAAAATAATAAAAATAAACATAATAAAATAATTCTCACGACGTTTCGGCCACAACGCAAGCAGCCGTCCTCAGGTGAAGACCACGTCTGTCGGGGAGACAGCGTCTGAATAAAACAGCACCATGCTTGGAGCGTATATTTAATCTGGGTTGGAAGGGGGGAAAGGGCGCCTTGACAAAATAATTTGCATATCAAGAGGAATTTAGCATATTTATGGGAAATGCAGGTATGTGATTAGTACTACTTATGCCCGTGCATTATGCAGGATTAGCAGCATCAAAGGGAGGGGATATAGGAAATGCAGGTATGTGATTAGTACTACTTATGCCCGTGCATTATGCAGGATTAGCAGCATCAAAGGGAGGGGATATGGGAAATGCAGGTATGTGATTAGTACTACTTATGCCCGTGCATTATGCAGGATTAGCAGCATCAAAAGCAGGGGATAGGGGTAGCATTAATAAAGGGAAGGAGTGTTAATAGTATGTAGCTGCAGTAACTAAAACCACCACGTAAACAACTAAAGTATAAACTACATAGTATCATCAGTATACTAAATATACTCTACAATAAGCTGAGTTACTAACAGTAAGTAATACATTACAATTCTACGTCGTAAAAAATATAATATGCTTCCATCTAAACTTTATTCTCTTATATCACACGAGTCTACACCGTACTATATACTGCCATAGACAAACCCAACATTGAATTATATACTGTATTGCTATAAACCACACAAACTCCACTCAACATCCTGGCACCAGACAAACTCCACTCTACATCCTGGCACCAGACAAACTCCACTCTACATCCTGGCACCAGACAAACTCCACTCTACATCCTGGCACCAGACAAACTCCACTCTACATCCTGGCACCAGACAAACTCCACTCAACATCCTGGCACCAGACAAACTCCACTCTACATCCTGGCACCAGACAAACTCCACTCTACATCCTGGCACCAGACAAACTCCACTCTACATCCTGGCACCAGACAAACTCCACTCTACATCCTCGCACCAGACAAACTCCACTCTACATCCTGGCACCAGACAACCTCCACTCTACATCCTGGCACCAGACAAACTCCACTCAACATCCTGGCACCAGACAAACTCCACTCAACATCCTGGCACCAGACAAACTCCACTCTACATCCTGGCACCAGACAAACTCCACTCTACATCCTGGCACCAGACAACCTCCACTCTACATCCTGGCACCAGACAAACTCCACTCAACATCCTGGCACCAGACAAACTCCACTCAACATCCTGGCACCAGACAAACTCCACTCTACATCCTGGCACCAGACAAACTCCACTCTACATCCTCGCACCAGACAAACTCCACTCTACATCCTGGCACCAGACAAACTCCACTCAACATCCTCGCACCAGACAAACTCCACTCAACATCCTGGCACCAGACAAACTCCACTCAACATCCTGGCACCAGACAACCTCCACTCTACATCCTGGCACCAGACAACCTCCACACTACATCCTTCACTATACAATTACGATACTATATATTACTTTGTACATTGTATTAAGCATATTAATTTTATACTATTTGTTATTATACACTGTACCATATACAGCAGTGTGATATACATTAGGGTGGGTAGAATAATACATAGTGTTTATAGCAATACAGTATATAATTTAATGTTGGGTTTGTCTATGGCAGTATATAGTACGGTGTAGACTCGTGTGATGTAAGAGAATAAAGTTTAGATGGAAGCATATTATATTTTTTACGACGTAGACTTGTAATGTATCACTTACTGTTAGTAACTCAGCTTATTGTAGAGTATATTTAGTATACTGATGATACTATATAGTTTATACTTTAGTTGTTTACGTGGTGGTTTTAGTTGCTGCAGCTACATACTATTAACACTCCTTCCCTTTATTAATGCTACCCCTATCCCCTCCTTTTTATGCTGCTAATCCTGCATAATGCACGGGCATAAGTAGTACCAATCACATACCTGTATTTCCCATATCCCCTCCTTTTGATGCTGCTAATCATGCATAATGCACGGGCATAAATAGTACTAATCACATACCTGCATTTCCCATATCCTATCCCTTTGATGTTGCTAATCCTGCATAATGCACGGGCATAAGTAGTACTAATCACATACCTGCATTTCCCATATCCCCTCCCTTTGATGCTGCTAATCCTGCATAATGCACGGGCATAAGTAGTACTAATCGCATACCTGCATTTCCCATATCCCCTCCCTTTGATGCTGCTAATCCTGCATAATGCACGGGCATAAGTAGTACTAATCACATACCTGCATTTCCCATAAATATGCTAAATTCCTATTGATATGCAAGCATGGTGCTGTTTCATTCAGACGCTGTCTCCCCGACAGACCTGGTCTTCACCTGAGGACGGCTGCTTGCGTTGTGGCCGAAACGTCGTGAGAATTATTTTATCATGTTTTATTTTTATTATTTTATTTTTTCCATTCTACGTGACTTTACCGAAAGAACCAAGAAGATGAATCCCTGCAGTCACGAAAGCTTTAAATCGAAAAATGAATAAAGCGCTCTAGCTAGCATTTATCGTTAAAATAATGTCCATGTTTTTTACCCCAGTAATTACCCTGTAATCGCGAAATTTGTATGGGATAAGGGTAAAAGGTAAGGTAAAGGTAGGCTCGTTCTTATTTTACCTTTTACCTTACCTGCTAAAGGGTAAAAGGTAGGGTAGCGCGATTGTATTGTGGTAAGGTAAAAGGTAGGGTAAAGTTTCTATTGTTTTTTACCGTTTAACTTTAACCTCACCTTGCCGAGGCCTACTGATGCAGAACGTTTCCATGGTTGTTAAACTGCTCATAAGATAGTGGGGGGGGGGGGGGGGGGTCTTTCGACACACAGTTTCTCACTATAAATGACTAATAAAGTTAAATTCTTGTACACGTTATCAAAGTTGGCGTGCACTTCATTCAACACGTGGAAACCGATGCCAGCAGTTTGAAGTACGCTCAAAGAAACTGAGAATATTTGTTTTCACGTTACCAGCATTCTCTGCAATATATTATGGAGGAATGGCAATTGAGCAGAGAATGTTGAAAACATTTGTAAAACTCGTACGAGTGTCACAATTTTTTTTTACATCATCACAGCACTCCTATGTGTACATATATAATAAAAATAAATAAACAATTCTAGGCTAATGTGTTTTAGTAATCGCCAGTCATATAACATTGAACTCCTCTCACATGCGATGAATTGTCACACTTAAGGGTATCGACAATCCAATGCATACATGTTTTGTTGCATTATAGCGTTAATGTAGCGACCTCTAGTGGCTGCAGGAGTCACGTGAACCTGTTACGTACAACGTATACAAATATGAAAAAAAAATCAGTTGTTTACTGTAATCACAGTGCTACACCGCATTTTCGCCGATGCACAAGCGTGCATTTGCTGACGGCCGTGTGTGTGTGTGTCTTTGTGCTTGACCATTTTAACAGAGAGGGACAAAATGCAGCCTCCAAACTTCTGGAGCAATTTGGTTTAAATACAAATGTGATGAAATTACATGTTTAAGTCACTTGTAAATAGACACTGCCCATCTCCGATGGCGTTTACACACCCATGAGCAGCTTATTTGCACTTACGTGCATATAGAATAAACTATTTTTTTCATATCAGGTAATGCCCACTGAGCTATAGAGAGGTCTTTTTACAAGCGACCTGGCCACAAATGATAGTTCAACGAAGTGGCCTATCACGTGGAACTGTATAGGAGCGAAATACTTTAAACACGTGCTTCTAAATGTGGAGGGAAAACCCGGAGTACCCGGAAAAAAATCCACGCGACCATGGGGAGAGAGAAATGCAAACTCGAAATATACAGGCGCCAGGGTCGGGATCAAACCTACGACCTCCTGTACACCGGGTGAGGTAGTTAACATCTCGCCAACCTTGACCGTGGTACATGGGTTTCAATGCGCGGCTTTGCTGCCTCTTGCAGAAGACGGAGAGAGCCATCCGGGCGGCGCGGCGGGCAACGACAGCGTGACGGCGTACTGCCGCTCCGAGGAGGGCGACATGTTCCTGCCGTGGGAGGCATGGAAGCCGGACGTGTGCACCAGCTGCATGTGCCGCAACGGCCACATTGCCTGCTTTCACGAGAGCTGCCCCGCGCTGCCCTGCCCCCGGCCTGTGCTGCGCAAGGGACAGTGCTGCCCCTACTGCCTGGGTGAGTTGCACGATGTCACAACCTTGCCGGCAACTCGGCTTAACAACGATCTTGACGACTCGCAACCTTGACAAGTTTTTGTAGAACTTTGCACGATCCGGTTTGTTGTTGGGCATTCAGTGGTTTGGGGATGTGGGCCTGTGTCCAGCAACCGTGATGTAATATATATATAAAACTTCCCTTCAAAGTCTTCTGTAGGGAATGTGTGGCTTCGTACATCACTCGAGGCGAAATTTTTATTATTTTGATCGTTGCTTTCTATGTCACCTAGATTTCATATTGCTTATATCATAAGTTAATGTGAACGTACATTCAACCGTAAAAAAAATATTTGATACAAAAGAATTTTAAATCATTTGTCAGCCCACGCTGTGTCAGATATGGGCGTTATTTGACTATATTTCAACATCAGTCCGGGTTGGTGAAGGAGAGGGCCCGGGATCCGTTCAGATATCACTAATGTTAGCCATGGTTGATAATTATTAACCATGGCTAACAACCTGAGTTTGATTAATTATAATCAATCAAACTCAGGTTGCCTGGTTCATAGTGCAGTTGGCTCATCGTTTTGCCACCCCAGCCATAATTAACTGATGTCCCGTATAAATTAAACAGCACAAACATGTCTTGCCATTTTACTGTGTTTTTGCTCTTTTTGCTTTTGTATATTTTATACCCGGCTTTCCTGAGCATGAGAAACCATTAGCCTGAGTAGGCTCTTCTCACGTGTTACATGAATGGAGATTTGACTCATTTGAAACGAGATTCCCGCACAAGGTATTGGGCATTCATTTACTGTGGCCAAAAATGTCAACATATCCCAAGGTGATTTGAGCCACGGTTGTGGAGGGCAAAAGCATTTCGAATTATTTTCTGTTCTTGTGCACGGTAGCAATATGTTCAAGAGCTGAATGCCAATGTCGAGGTCTGCTAGGCACAAGAGGGCTTCGAGAGAGGGTCCGTGTCGTTTTGCTATTCCTTCTCCTCCGTTGGAAGGAGTGCAGACTACGGTGGTTTACTATATGGCCCATAGTTTGGGTTGCATGCGTGTATGTATGTTGAACTTCTTTTGCACCATACGCAATCAACCATGTTAATCAGAGGTGCGGGGGAAGGACAACAAATCGAACACAAAAAGCAGTTCTAAATAAATTAGTTTTCAATCTAGACGGGGTTTTTTTTCATCACTGCATTTCTAATTAAGTAAACGCGATCCCACTGCTGCCTGTTTGAGGCGCTGCTTTTCTGAACGGAGGAGAGTTCCATTTTTTTCAGCGGGCAGAATGCACTCGCCAGTGCTCGAAGCACTCATCGGAGCTAAGGGCACCAGTAAACATTGTAAAAATGCTTTACCAGAGTGCGAGTGTAAAAAAAATGTGCCTGCTTGCACTGCAGGGAACCTGTACCTGGCACTGCAGAGGCCATCGCATGCCTGCGTCTTGCCGTTCTCAGTGTGCACTCCAAACGCGAGCACGTCCCTCTCCAGCGCTCACTCTGAAGGCACTCAACGGGATTCACAAGCCGCCCTCTCAAACACCTCTTTTTTCCTTCCCTCCTCCCCAGTAATTTGTGCAGGCATGCGATATAGAGAGCACTCTGCGTATAATGCTGGCGTTCAAGCTGCAGAATTGTGGAAATGTCAACATCGTGAGACTTTTATGGGTAGATTAGCATCATAATAATGTTAATAGTAAGAAGAACAAGACATCACACTGATTGGAACCTGTTGAGGCACGCATTGATTGCTGTGGTTTAACAACGTGCCATTCTATTGGGAGAGCAGTCGTGCTTATTGTTGTAGATAATGTCTCTTTGTCAAGAAAATAAGGCATTTGAAAGATTTGTTGTAACCTCGTCACCTATACCAACCACGCATACCCACGTGACGAGCCCAGCCTAGGTGATGCGCCACGTGGTAGAGCGTGGGCTATGATGTTGCTGGGTTGTCCTGCACTGAATGCACACCACTGGACAGACACTTTTATTTAAAGCCAGCTCAGGACCCATTGAGATGAGAAGTATTATTTTACAACCAGCAAACTGTGATTAAACTGGGGTTTCAAGTGTTACAAGTTGGTGGGTTGAACCTCATCATTAATTATTGCACACAACAACAAAAAAGTATATTCATTTTGAGTTTTCACCTTTTTTCAGAATTCATATTCTTGGGTTTTTCGGTAAAGTCACGTAGATAGGCTCAAAGAAAAAAAAAAAATTTTAGAATATGAATTCCTGCAGTCACGAAAGCTTTAAGTCAAGACTTTTTTTTGCAGAAGTTTCTAATTCTGAGGACTAAAACGCTTGTTTTGCCATGCTACAAATACCACTTGTGGGACATGGAAAGGGTGCACCATCTAGTGCTGGATAAGAGATCTATTGGAGTCACCTCAGAAGTAGTTCTCTGGCATCATCTTCCAGACATACGACGCTGTTACAATGCTCACTGTGGAGATGCATTCATCTCATAACAGGGCACCTTCAGCGAAATTGAAAAGTAACCGAGGGATAAAATACATATGAAGTTCCAACACTGCTGGAGTGCAATTCTGCTCGTGCGTGCGAGAGTGGGCGCAACGCCGTGAGCCTCCGTGGCTCTAGAAGCTTGGTCGATGCTCACAGCACCGACTGTGACGTTAACGTGCCGCACGCTGACAGCAGGCGCTCGAGGTGAGGGTCCAGCGTCACTTGTGGGTTTTACGGCCGACCTTTAAGCTGATTGTACGAGCTTCGATTTTTTCAGAGAGCCCTCCCGGGGTCAAATCGGCACAAAAGAGCCGTGAAAGAGGTGCACTTGTACGACTGCTGTAGAATTCAATAACGTAGCGGTTGTACGTATAGATGCATGTATGTGAATTTCTTTTGCACCGTACGTAGCCAACTCCGATAATCAGAGGTGCGGGATTATTATCGCACCGCGCTCGTAATAGAATCGCACCACGCTTGGATGCGGTGTATTAGCACGCAATGTGGTTATCGTCCGATGTTGACAATGTCATCGTCGTCGTGTTGCTGGTCCGGCGTGTGTAGACGAGCCACCTTTCAGCACGGGCTGCTCATTCGACGGGCGCTTGTACGGCGACGGCGAGCGCTGGGCACTGGACAGTTGCACCCACTGCTTCTGCGTGGGAAGCCAGACGCTGTGCGCCATGGACGACTGTCCCACCCTCACGTGTGCCCAGCCGCTCTTCCTGGAGGGCCTGTGCTGCCCCCTCTGCCCAGGTATTGCACCATTGCAAATGGGGAGCTTTCTTTAAGACGTCAGGACGGCGGGTTGACGATACCGGAAATGCGTTTATGCACCGTCGTGGAGGATTGTGGGTCGCAAATAATAAAGTAAAATAAATAGACAGACAGCAGTCCCTCTGTCCCGTGCAAAATGAAAGTGGCATTTTAGTTCATCAGTCAATTTGCCTTCTGGACAAATATTTTTCAGCAGCATTTGTTTAAATAGGTGAACTCTGGACCAGTTTAACTTTTTGAGTCTCATCAGCACTCGGCTCTGTTAAGCGAACACGAATCTTTAAGGCTCGGTCATTTTATCTTGTGCATTACGAACGATGTGGGAGATGCAATTCGATGTCTTTCTCATTCCCCATTCTAACAACCATTCCTTTCACTCTTCTTCAAACCTTCCGTCACCTCTTAAATCGATATCCCCTCTCCCTATCCATCACTCTCTTTAGCCTCCAGCCCTCCCAACACTTCCCTATTCCATCTACCGACTTCTCCCAGAGCCTCTACCCTATGATTAAGGTACAGTAAAACCTTGGATTGCGAGCATAATTCGTTCCAGAAACGTGTTTGTAATCCAAGGCACTTTTATATCAAAGCACTCGTATATCAGTTGTGATCACAGCAGACAAAGCGTATACACGTACTTCTCGTATTGCAAGACCTCGCTCGTTTATCAAATTAATATTTATTTAAACATTTTGCTCGTCTTGCAAAACACTCGCAGACCAAGTTACTCGCAATCCAAGGTTGTATTGTACTTTGTTACCACAAGAGAGGGGTGAACCGATGTGCGGTGTACGTGTAAAGATTAATTGGTCACATTTGTCATGGCCTGAAATGTCCACTTTATTTGGCAAAGTTCGCCTCGGAGATATTTGCAGTGTCCATGTATTTAGAACTTCTTTTGCACCATACGTAGCCTACTGTGCTAATCAGAGGTGCGGTGGAAGGATAACAAACTAAACACAAAAAGCAGTCTGCTTAATATGTAGGTGTTTTTAATGCTTTACAACTAAAGTTGAATGCGTTTATCCATTCACTCTGTCCCTCTGTTGGTGTCTGTACAGGGAGTGCGTGATAACTTTTGTAAAAAAATATGATCAAACGTTAATAAAACTTTTGTATAAAGTTGTTTTGCTATTAAAAACCTAGCCTATAGATAACTGGCCAAATTGATTGCCCAAAACTGGCAGACACAAACCAGTGCCGAAATAACTTTGCAAATATGGCAACATGTTTTTTTTCCGTGTCAGCTACCCTTTATCTTCTGTGCGCTGCTAATAAATACTTCAGAGACTGAACGCGCGTTGGACAGCGATACAGAATCCATGAGTGCGCGTGTGGGTTTTTTTCTCTTCTTTTCGTTTGGCCGTCCAGATGAGCCGACGGTAGCGGTAGTGATGGTGCCCGTGAACAAGGCAGATCGGTGGAATGAGATCGATCCAGACAACGCCGCGACATTGCCGACCACCCCTGTCCTTGAGGAAACCCACGGTATTGCCCCCACCCCGCCAAATGTCAATACATTTCCCGTAGAGGCAACTTTTAATAAGATTTTTGTACTCGGTAAGTGCTCTTTGTTTTTTTTTGTATTGATATAATTTTAGGGACCATTAGAGTTGAGATATTTTCTTGGCAAGATTCTATCGACATTTCAAATAACCTGCTTTTTGGTCATTAATTCCCCTGCTATTTAAAGAGCCAACTGCTAAGTTTCTTTGGTCGCCTGTCCTTGTTTTCTATAAGGGAAACAAATGAGCTGGCCCTCATCACATCTCAGAGATGACTGAGCATTATCTCCCATACCTACGGGTGTACAAACCAAAATGTATGATTTTTACATCCCAGGAAACTTCTTGCATTAAACAAGATAGCTGTGTGTTTTCAATGATTGCGGTATATGCACAGTTTACATACTTCTGTCTGCATAAGGGCTGTATAAACATTGTATATCAAACATCTTTGCATAACAGGACTGAGATCTTGACGTTTTTTTTACGAAGTATGAGAAAACACTGATTGTGAGCAATTAACATTTATTTTTAAACCTTTATGGATTTGGCTATACAATGAGCTGCGTGCAATTAACAATCTCGTTCAAAATCTCCCAATGAACATGTGCATTTAGACAAGGTGACACGGGAGTTGTGGCATGAGAAATTATTTGTTTTTAAGAGAATGAATAAGCCGTACGTGCAATTTCATCCCGGTTATTTAAGTGAACGTTCAGGGTTTGTTTTGTAGAGCGTGTTGTATGGTCGTGCGTTTATGTAACAGAATTCATTGTCTTCTTTCGGTAAAGTCGCGTAAAATTAAAATAATAAAATAATAACAAATAAAATAAAACATAATAAAATAATTATTATGTAGCAGTCACGAAAGCTTTAAATCGAAATAATTCATTGTGTTCACTGTTTTTGCTGCCCCAAGACCCTCTTGTAAACTCCGTTAAGCAATCTAAAGTGTACACATTCCTAGATATGCTCAACGAATAAAGAAAAATTACTGCACCCAAGCGATGTTCCTGATATTCAGATTAATTCGAAAAATCTGAAAAATAGGGCCCAAGATATACGATATTACGGATTATACAATTGTTTCGTTTCATATTGATACGGAAACATGCTGCCACAGGAAATGATGTCACTTTACACAACATCACATTCACCCATTTCCTGCCAGAAGTGGTGTCACACGACATTGGGTTACATAACTTATGTTGGCACAAAAAAAATCACGTGATTATTGTTACATCATCTAAATTGTCTGAAAATCTGGAAAGAGATAAAACTTTGTCCTTAAAACTCCACAATACTAAATATTAAAATTTGAAACGTATCCCTTTGGCACTGGCAGAATTTTTCGTTTTTCTTTCTTATACTCAACCGCAAATGACCAATCTCCCTCAGATCTGGAAAACCACATCCCAGGGGCCCATCTGCGGCTGGCCCCAGCCGACCCGTCTCACGCCTCGCGCTCCCAGGACCTCGCCTGGTTGGCCCTGGTGCCCCTCGTGGCTGTGGTGGCCATTGGTGCGGCGCTGCTCTACCAGCACCGCCACAAGCGCTGGATCCCCAGCCCGGCCTACAAGCCACCCGGCAAGGCAAGTGTACGCTGCGCAAATTGGCACCTGAACTGCCGCGATGTTAGTGAAGGCCCACTCGTGGGGAACCTGTGGACCAACAGCATACAACTTATAATAATAGGGTTTTTCCCCTTTTTTCTGGCAACAAAACTGAAACCTTTTTACAAGGATTCATGTCTGCATTAACCACCATACTTGCAGTCAAAATGCAAACAAAAACACACTATGATAATATATGCATTGTCCTTGAAACTGATTGGTCCACACCAGTGTGTTTTTGTTTGCATTTTGACTGCAAGTATTGTGGTTAATGCAGACATGAATCCTTGTAAAAAGGTTTCAGTTTTGTTGCCAGAAAAAAGGGGAAAAACCCTATTATTCTATTTTGGTACTGGCAAAGGAGGTCTAATGAAGCATACAACTTAATTTTATACGGTTCACGTTCCAGATCCTACGGTGTTTCCCTCCACGTTTAGAAACACGTGTTGGCTGCTATACATGATAAGCTACTTCGTTGAGCTATCATTTGTGGCCAGGTCATTTCTGAAAAACAGCTATATAGCTCAGTGGGCCTTACCTGGTAAAATAAAAATAACAAAAATTGCTGCTTGGAAACAGCCATAAAATGAGTTGATGTCTTTAAACAGAATAGAAGCTTCTGGGCTTTGATTACAGATGCATGTGGAAGATGCTAAGAACTGCGTAAAAGAAGATAGTAAGTGACTTAGAAGTTGGTAATAGAACATTTCAATGTAGATACCATCAGGAAGAGGAATTTGCATTAGATGTGACACGTGTCCAGGATGGAGGAGGGCAGGTTACTGCCACAGGCACTCAAGTGGCACCCAGATGGGGGTAATCAAGGTAGAGATAAAAAGCCAGACGGTCGATAACTGTTAGCCGGGTCTGCAAAGTTTGAGCGTCGACTTTACGACAGATGCAGGATCTAGTGGAACTTAGGAAAAAAGGAAGGGCCGAGATGTGGTGGCATCGGCAGCACCGGCCATGCCGACTCCCTGACCTTTCCCTTCCTTTTGCCCTTCAAAGGAGTCGTGCTTCAGCCCCGAGCTGCAGACGCACTCGGTGGTGTACGTGGACTGCGAGCGGGGCACCAAGGTGCAGGTGGACAGCCCCCACAGGATGAAGCGCCTGGCGGATGAGGACACGCGATACAGCGGCTGTTTCTCCACGCCCAACGGCCACGCCGGTGGGGGCGGCGTCGCCACGCAGGCCGGGGCCCAGTGCACGGACGCCCTCTGAGTGGCGCGGATGAGCGATGTCTCACGAGCGAAAAAGCGACTGTGTGTGTGCCTTTTGCCTTTCTTCTGCTTGAAGCTTTGGGGCATTCGGCAAAACCCTCTCCTTTCACTTCGCTCTCGCCACGTTTTTGCTGGGGTGTCCAGTTCTGTTTTGCGAGTCGGGATCTTACCGAAGACTTCTGTGTCAGGGTTGTCCCGGTCGGAACTCACGTAAGGTGGTGGTCTCCCACCAAAGAATGCCAAACTATTGTATTGTATAGAGCTACACTGAAAAAAACAACATGTAAATTAAAGTCAAAGTGACTTCATGCTCAAATGAGCATTGGGGCGGCACTCAACTCTGTCGGCGGCCCTGAGCTCGTGGCAGCAATATCATATTGCTATCATGGGGAACGTTCTCTCCGTAAGACAACTTCCGTTAAGTTCCCACACGTTACGTTGTGCTCATTCCCAATAAGTATTTAGCAAAGGGTAAGCTTTGTACTTTAGCGGTTTGACCATGGGTCTGGGTCATGGTGGCCTGTTTCTTTAAAAAAATGGCATGGGATCCTTTACGCGAACACACGTTAGCAGACAGTGCTCTGTGTGATTGTATTTCCACGGCAGGAACAGATCTCAGAGTCAAAGCCATTGAAAATTAGATGCAGAAGGAGGTGCAGTTGTCTCAATGCCTCCCATCCACTCCATATGACAAAACATTAAAAAAAGCATTCATGCTCCGAATAAAATACATCTAAATGTTTATTTATTATACGTGTCTAAACCCAAAATGTTCACTCCATTTTAAAGGTGTGCACTTATTGTACGTTTGCCATTGCTACAAAATTACAATTGCTCTGCTATCACTTGGCCGGCGTTGCTCACTTGCACGAGCACTGCGCAGTTGTGAGTGAGCAATTGAAATTTGTCGAAGGCGGTGGGAAAGCTATTGGAGGATATCGTTGTTTCCGTCGCGTTGATTTGACAGCGGGCTATGGAAACTGCAGTACCGTGCATGGAAACCACCACTCCCAGGACACGTGGTTTATCAACAGAAGCACGCGTTTGGAGATATTTGCTTAGCGCGTGGGCGCACTCGTGTTCACACCCCAGCCTTGGCGTGCCAGAGTGAGTGTCACACTTCGAGTGCCATTGGGTAGCGTCGAGAAGTTCAGGACTAACACGGGAGGGGAGGATGAATGGAGTGCCATGAGGTGTCAATGCAATGTGAGTCGTGACATATCGTTGTTGTTTAGTGGACTATAGACGCGTTGCTAATGATTGACTAGTGATAGCTCCACGAAGAGTAGTGTGTAAATATCGTGTGTGAAAGAGAGTAATTTACTGTCGATAACCAAGCGGAGCGCTCGATCGGCATGAGTGCGGAGGCATCTCGGAAACCTGCAGTTTGCCGGCTGCAGAACACGACGTTCACAAAGAACGAAAAACGTTCAATATTTTTCTTGTTTTTTTTTACAAATTCATACTTTGCACAAGTGGCCCACGTGGATATAATTTAAGGTTTATATTAATACACGTGTAACTGATTGATGATATAGGTGCACAACACTCAAGGGACAGAAAATCCATGATTTTATTTTTGGTGGGGGGGGTGGTGTTGGTTTTTCACTGGTCTGACTGGGGTGTGGCTGTCTCAAACATGAATATAATTGTGTCTCTGGGTCTCACATTGTCGCATGGAGGATCTATTACAACTGTCGCTCTGCAAATTTCCAAAAACATGACGCTGCCAAGTTTAGTCGCAAATAATGAAGTGTATTTATTTATGACGATTTCAAATTTGTATTCCTCCGGTATATATTGTATATTATATACAGTACCGTGGATTTTGGAACCGTGGAATACACCCATAGCAGCATGCAGAAATTATTGACTTCAGAGATTGATTCCCGTTCAATATATTTCATCTTTGAAACATTGCGCATCGTGAACATATTTTCGTTGTTACATTTCTGTTCCCGTAAACCCATGTTAAGTGATGTTAAGATGCCTTCATAATTTTTTTTTAATCGATGTTACTGCAGCATGCTATACCCAAAGCAGGTAACATTTGCTTAACCTTCTTGTGAAACCGGCTTATTCCACAGACACCGCCCCTCATTAAAGAATGAAAATGGTCTTCTGATTCATATTAGTTTCACTTTCACAGGACTGCCTTCAGCCCATTCACTTTAGCGCACTTTGTCAATCACAGTGTATGACACGAGCAGTTAAAACTGGATTGTTGCCTTAAGTTTAACGGATCGAGTGTGAGCCAGCGAGGGCCACGCGTCGACTGAAGGCGCCGCGATAGCGTACGCACCCTGAAAACCTAACCACTGGAACATAAATTGCAAAATATTATTATTTTTTAAACATAACTTTACGATGCGTTTCAGAGTTGATTCTGCGTGCTGTTCGCAACACGGCAACGGCCAGAAAACATATCGGAGAGGTGGACAGCACAACCGCAAAAAATCAACGCAATCGGTGCAAATAGCGGTTCAAGGTTGAGCACTGTCACAACCACAAATGTCAATGAAACCATGTACAGTGTGGCAAACGAGATCACTAAAATGAGCAGAAAGACATTTTAAAAATGACACGTGCAACATTGCAGAGGATTTTCGTGATTGTCATGTCCTAGTCTACATACTTGATTTAAAATAATAAAAGTCATGTAAGCCAGCAAGGGAGATAAGCAAAGAAAACAACCGCATGTTTAAATTACCGCAGAGTATGAGCCAATATTATTATTTTTGTATATTTAGAATGTTTTAATCAAATAAACCCATTTTAAGTTATTTTGATTTAGTAAACGGTAAAAAAAAATGCAATTCATACAACATCACAATTTGTAGTTTTTTTCAAGTGAGGGTTTTTCCATCACTTGAGTGAAAAATGCCAATGTGATTTGTATATGTGTACTTTAACAATGTATCATATTCCATGTTTCACTTTGTTGGCAGCCATGGACTCAAGAGATGTAGGTGGTGAGTGAGAAAAGCTGACACAAAAAAAATGTTAATGCCACAGTTTCATGATTTGAGTTGAAATATTACAAATAAGCTGTCATAAATGTCGTATATTTTTAAGGACAGAAATACATTATTTATTATTTTAACAATGTAATTTCTCTAGGGTAATATTTATTGAAGCCAGGTGATGTGGCGATGATTTATAGTCATAAAATAAATCCGCAAAAGGTAAATAATATACAAAATTCAGAGGATAACTAACTGCCCAAAACTTATCACAGCATAGGATTCATCGAACACACACAACTAATGCACTGATGTATGTAATCTTTTTTTGTGGGGGGAGGGAGAGGGGAAGGGGGGTTGTTTTTTGATGTCAGCTTGTCACAGTCTGAAGAAAGTCCTGGAACACGTGACAAGAGAGGGCCAAACTGTGTAGAACCGACCAAAATGAGAAGTGTGAGCAGCCGAAGAGTGGTGCCACACTCCAACGAACGCAACAAAATCCACTTCAGCTTTCAGAATCCCAGCGCCGCACTATTATTATTATTATTTACCGTTTATGTTTGTAAATATACGATCAGAAATGTGTGTGTACATCTGTAAAAAAAAGTTTTCCCATGTTCGTTTAACTGTTGAATGTATTTATAATGTAGACAAAAAAAATCTTTTATTTGGAAAAGTTCAAAGAACATATCTTTATATCTTTGCATCCTTTTTGTTTTCCTACTGGTTTGGACACTTTTACCCGTAAGAACCTTTGCATACTTCGTGAGCTGGCTTTTAAGAATTTTAACTGCACTTGGTTTATTATGGATGATGAGGTTTTATTCGGAACCTTATTATAAATGTTTGTTACGTAGGGGTTTTTATTTGTTTGATCGTTTTTTTTTTTAAAACATGCTTTGTCCTTTTGACATTAGTTGCCTAATGATGATGAGCATAAGAGCTCAGTGTTGGGCACGAGTGAAGTGTCGATGACGACATTTGGCTTCTCCGTGAATTACAGTTTAACAAAGGCTTAACATGCAAAGTGCATACGCCACATTGTCTGTGTGTTTTTTATTATTATTTAACGGCCATTTGCTTCTGCTCTGCTTTAAAGTAGTGTAAAGAAAAGTATTTGTCAACGCAGTTACTTGTGCTAATAACGAAGATGCTTTGTAATTTATTTTTAATTAACGTTCCTATTTATTATAGACGAATGCTGATAGCTAAAGCAAAATGACCTGGAATTGCCCATGTGTGTGTGTGTGTGCATGCATGTGTGTGTGGCCCCAACAGTCTATTAAGGCTATACGGGGGGATATTTGTGTTTGTGTGTCGGTGGTGGGGAGCGGTAGTGCAGTGGTTAGCGCGCTGCGCTACAAACCCGGTGACCCGAGTTCAGTTGCAGCTCACAGCCAACACCAGTGACGATTATCTGGACCGATCCTGGTCTTCCCCTTGGTCGATTCAACCTCAAATAAGTACCTGGCGTGGTGTGTAAATATCACCGCTAGGGAGACAAAGGCGGCCCGGGCGTGGTGCTGGCCACCCCACCCCCTCGTGTGCCGTTCCGGCCTCGCTAACAGCACTTGCCACAAACGTCTGTTAAGGCTTTACGGGGGGTTTTTGCCTTTTGCTCGTGGTGGGATCACCGTGCGCGTGACCAAAATCTGCTGTACAAACTTGTTTCAGCGTTTTTGGCCATCCCGGTGCCCCCAGGCCACGCTTTATGGGTGTCCCGCGGGATGACGCTGACTGCCTCCCCCCGTCCGTCTGTAAATGGCTAACGCTGATTTTTTTTCCTCTCTCTCTCTCACGCAATGCTCTCGCGCTGGGCGACTATTAGTGGGTAAAATTGCATGGCATCCGACACACGCACGTTTTGTACATACACGGGACGCGTGTCCACACTTGATTCACGCAACGCGTGGACATGCGTATGCACGGCCTTGTTCTCTTTATCTGACTTGTGGTCGCAAACTGTTTGCTTCCAGCTTTATCATTTACATTCAAAAATATAAAAATAAAAAAACTTCTCAAAAACTCACGTTGATGTGTCCTCGTGTCTGACTTGCTTACGAACCCACCGGTGCCATGAACGTGATAGCTCCTTGTCAATTCCATAGCGGATAACCATCTCCTCTGCGCCGTGTCAATCATGGGCGTTTGAGTGTTTGACTATACTTCACCGCCATGCTGCTCAGTGTGAGTTGGTGAAGTGGGGGGGGGGGGTGAAGGGAGGGGCATGACCAGTTCAGACATCATTCACCACTGATGTTAGCCGTGGTCAGAAAAACAAATCTCAAGGTCCACCACTCCCTCTCTCCACGCTGTTGAAAGCAGTCGATAAACCAAAATCAAGGTCAAAGCCGAGTCGTAAATCCATCTGCATGGCATGAGTGCGCTTTTGTCCAATATTGTTTTCCACAGTGGTTGCAGTACGGACAGATGCAATTCAATAGAACATGATTCTTCCACGGTATATGTGCGATCATGCACATTCCCTCCACCTGTTTCACGTGTTGGCAGATGGTTATAAAAAACAACAACATTGGCAAACTCATTTCAACCATGATTTCGACGGAATAAAAAAAACAGACGAGAGACCCTGGCCCTCTCGACCCGACACTGTCCCCGTGAGCTGGTGGCTAGGCACTCTGGAACAGCTCTGTCTGAAAAGGATGGGGCAGGAAAAGCGGAGAACAATAGGCGACGGTGGTGATGGCGGTGAGAACAGTGACTCCGCCTTGCTTACAACACCATTCGGCACAACAAGTCGCGTAACACTTGCAGTAGCGGCTCAAGCCGCGTGCAATGAACTCGCGAAGCTGTAAAATAACCGTATTTTGACGGGGAACACGTAAAAGTGCTCCCCAGTGAACCGCACATACGCCAGATGCGATCCGCGGATTGCGGCCTGGGGAATGAGTGGCGTTAATTGGGCGCGTTGATTAGCACCAGGAAGCGTGCCGTTGGCGTGCAGGAGCGTGGCATGTCAGGACGCGCCAAAGTATGCCGTGAAGTTAACTGTTCTATCCCCGTGTGACCCACACGAGCCGCGCCGCGTGATGGAAGACTGGCAGGCAATCAGGGTAACAGGCGCAGAGTCGGTCGCTCTGAAATGTGGCAGTGTCACGCACTGGTCCCATCGTGCGGTTTTATCGGTTGGGAGAAAAATCCGACAAAATGAGGCCAACGCAGCCATCATCAAAAGGGCCCTGATGTCAAAGTGACAGTTATGAAACGTGGGAGATAATTATCCGCCTACCCGCGCACATTCTTGTCGCGTGGAATCCGTTTGAAACGCTCGCGCGTGCTACTGCAGTCGAAACCGGTGGCAATGCGAGAGGTTATTGGGATTGCCTCCTGTGTGCCTCGAGGCAACGGCACAATGCGAAACATTCTCCCATCATCCCCTTTAATGCCCCGCGTCCCTACGGCCCACCCGCAGCTCATTCCCGACAAACGGTAAAGTGCGTGACGCCGTGAATTCTTGTCAAGCGCGTGGATGTTTAGCCGATTGATAAACGGGAGGCTTCAAATCCAATGGGTATCACAACTCCGGATTTCCTGTTGACAATAAGTAATTCATCAGGTAATGGGATGTGTGCATTAGGTGTCCGCTCGCACACAATCAAGCATGCCAGAGGTGCATTGCCGAAGGAGTAAAAGGGTTTTTGCTCAGCGATGTATGATTGGCAGCTGCTAGGCAACTACATCGTAGTGTACAGCAGCGTGCCAGGTAACAACAACAACATTGGCTCTGAATGTGCAGTCCCCTCGCACTCATTCGTCACGTGACCCCCCCACTTCCGACCTCTCAAACAGAAATGTCCATTTCTGTTGAAAGCGAAAGATTTTAAGACGCGAAAATATTGACAGTTAATGGAGCAGGATAAGAGGAGTGGGGCTTGGGGAAAAGGCGTGCGGGATTTTTTTGTGTTACGGTATGATCTTGTTTACCCCTTAAGTTACAAATTGTAAGGTAAACCCCCAACTAATGCATTTTCACCAATGGACACGTCAGTGATTAACTGCTGGTTTCCTGTATTTTGCATATTTCGAGTAATGCAATGGTTCCAGATACCGTGTAGAAGCGAGTGGCAATAATTGACGACCCAAACCCCCGAGCTGATAACGCACGGGACACAGGATGAGCGGTGTTCGTTCTCGCTGCGGTGATTCTCATGGTCATATTTTATCCAAAGTCAAACTTTGAACAAAAACAAGCAAGAGAACACGTCATTATTATTTATTTGTACAGCTCCAAACAAAAAAAATGTCCCAAACATTCCAAAACTTCCTCTTGTTTTGAACACTTCGAGCTTGAAATATGTTTTTCTCTCTTCCCCCCGCAACCCCCCCCCTCCCCCCTGCTGTTTTCCTAAGGTCGTTGACGGATTAACCCTTGCTCTTCTGGACCCAATAAACAGACCTGCAGGAAGCGCACGTCCATCAGACCCCTTTCGTAGCGCCGCCGCTTCCTTCCCTCCGAGCTGCATTGTAAACGACGACGCTGCCCCCCCCCCCCCGCCCCCCGCTTCGCTATCGGCTGCCCGGCGCGTGCGCCTTCCTGTTATAAGCTTTTTGAACTTTCGATCTTCTGCATCCTCCTTCACTTGAGGCGCCCTCCTCTTCCTCCTCTTCATTCTCCTCCATCGCCTCCTCGCAGACGTAGCGTCACCCACCCCATCCCCCCCCCGCCCAAAGTCACGTCCTTTTGTTTGGCGGACCGATGTTTACCGAGGGTATCTTTCGCGGCGGTCGCCCGGTTTCGTTTTGACAGCCGGTGAGGTTGTCATTTCCTCGTTGCGCGTGTGGGCAAGAAGCGACGAGGAGAAGCGTGCGTCTAGATCAGGGGTCGGCAACCTACGGCTCCGGAGCCGCATGCGGCTCTTTACGGGCTGCTTCTTGACGATGAGTATGTATGTACTCAGATGCATTGCGGCTCTTGAAATACTGAATTTTGTACCGAATTGGAAAGAAATGGCTCTTCTTGTTATTTTGGTTGCCGACCCCTGGTCTAGATGTTACGAGCGAGTGCCCGTCCACCCGTGTGGAGCACACACGCCAAAGGGATTGTTGGCTGCTGTGTGGGCCCACTGAATTCTGCCGTGACCGCTCCAGTTTTATCCACTGCCGGTGAAGATCAGGGGGGCACTTTTCATTATCTGTTCCAGATGAACGAAATATCTTGGCCGAATGAAACAAGTCGCGAAATGGAGTGAAAATACACAAACACACAGGTATAAATATACAGCGACATAGATCTCCCGTATAGCCTTCACAGACTGTTGGGGCAAGTGCTGTTAGCGTGCACCTATGAAGGCTGGAACGGCACACAAGTGGGTGGGGGTGGCCAGCACCACACTCCACCGCCGTTGTCTCCCCAGTGGCGACGTTTACACACCACACAAGGTACTCGTTTGAGGCTGAGTCGACCTAGGGAAGGCCAAGGACCGGTTTAGACAATCGTCACTGGTGTTGACCGTGAACGGAATTCGAACTCAGGTTGCCGGGTTCGTAGTGCAGCCCGCTGACCGCTACACTGCCGCCCCCACAAACATAATAAAGGTTCAAACAAACAAACACACATACACACCGGCACATATGGGAGGCCCAGGGCCTGTTCAGAAATTGCTCACCACTGATGTTAGCTATGGTCAGCAATCAAACTCAGGATTCCAGGTTCATAGAGTGGGGGCGTGCGAACCGCTGTGCTGCGACTCCACCAACAGACGAAATCATACACAAACATGCACACGCGCACTCACATCAACAAATAAATGTGAGATACAACGTTTCATTCCGATACTGTGCTTTTGCCTATCATACGTTGAGTTCTACAGACCGTCTGTCGCAATTTCTTCAAACCCCACAACTATCAGAATTCAACAATCTAACTATGCAGGGCCAGTTCTCCCCTACGCAGAGACGAGCTGGGCAGGTGGTAGCCAGAACTGACTGAACAACTTGTGGATCCCAGGAAATTTGCTTTTTCATTTTGCATGTAACAAATTTTGGCACGTTAAGCTCTGTTAATAAAAGGTAACAAAATCACTTCAAAGTCTTAAACGGTTAGAGCAAATTCTAGGTGGCTCTAGCAGAGTGCGATTATAATTGAAAGATTGGCAGCCCGACAGATAACACCTGTGCAACTTAAAATCTATTTAGCAATATATTGAACATTCACTTCCAGATGCAATCAACAATGAAATGGTATAGACGGGCCACGCACTATGATGCCAGCACCCACAATGCAGTCTAGCAGCGCAAGTTTTGCGTGCAAAATTAAGTCAGTCTTGCTAAACTATCAGATGTGGTATGTAGTTGCCTACAATCAAAATAACCTTGAATGTGTGCCCGATATCTTCAGACTCAGTGATCCTTTTCTGGGTAAATAAATGTCATGATTGTTATTATTATTCAATAGAATATGATGCCGTGTGGTCAAATATCACGAGAAATCAAAACCCCAACATTTTTTCAATTGCCCCACAGTCTCGCCTGTCACCCTGCACAACAGCTCACGGCAGAACTCTTCGCAACGGGACTCGCAACCTCCTCTTCGATAACAAAATCAACAAGAGGCGCGTGGTCACTGCCACTCCTCCGTGGCAGCCGCTGCCGTCTGCAACGCGCCGATCATCGACCCGTTGCACGCCCTCAGCAATCAATCTGCACCGACTTTTAGGAGACACCAAAAGGCTCCACCCACCTCTATCGCCTGGCTTTCAAGTGACACTTAACTTTGCTCTGCGCCTCAGAGTCAAGGTCATTTATGTCCATAAAATAATGCACGCATTGTAAATTGCATTGTTATTAACAATAAACATACTTTTAAGAGTTTATGTTTTTTTTTACGCACGCTTAACTACTCTTATGGTGGTGCTACGGCAAGGTCCTTAATTGAATGGGCTGTATTTTTCGATTTAAAGCTTTCGTGACTGCAGGGATTCATCTTCCTGGTTCTTTCGGTAAAGTCACGTAGAAGGGAAATAATAGACGTTTCGGCCACAACGCAAGCAGCCGTGCTCAGGTGAAGAA